TTTAAAGAAGGTTGGTGGATTGGTGTAAAATATGATGAACCACTTGGTAAAAATAATGGAACGTGAGTAGTGCCAAAATAAATTATGTTTCTTTATATAAAAAAAGAAAATCAATGTTAAGAAATATTTATTTATAGTGTCAATGAAAAGAAATATTTTGAGTGTTTACCTAAATATGGTGGATTTGTGAAACCAGCACATGTAAAAGTTGGAGATTTTCCAGAAGAAGAGTTTGATTTGAATGAAGAACTTTAATATATAAAATAGGTAAATGTCTTGTATTTGTTCTAATTAAATACAAATGTTGAATTAAAAGTAATTGCAAAAATTACTCTTTTTTAAATTATTATAATTATTATTTAATATTTCCTTCGTTTTATTATATCAGGTCTCCAGTTGACAGGATGAGATTCTTCAGTCTAGAAATAATATAAACAATTTATATAAATACGAAGCCTTCATTGTCTTTGTAATTGTACTGCATTTAATGTATTTGGAAAAAGTACATACCGCAGTATTATCTTCTTTATAAACTTTTATTGTTTTATCTGCTTCTGTTGTAATCATACGAGTACCAGATATGTCAAATGTGATACTGAATATACCAGCTTCGCTATCCATTGAGCCAGGTTGAACTGGAGCTTGTAATCGTTGAAAATTGTATCTAAAAATTTAAATAATATGCAACAAAGTTTTAAATTAAATTTATACATAACAAAGTAAAATGTTTTATTATATTTAAATGTTTAAAATAAATTTATATTTACCCTGTTCTCCAGTCCCAAAGATGCATAGTACCATTGTCTGCTCCAGAAACTAATACTCCATCCTCATTAACAGCTAAACAATTAACTATGGCATTATGTCCTGACAGATTTTGGATAAATTTTCCTTCTGGACATTTCCATTGTTTAATATTGTCGGGTGATGCAGATGCAAACATATACCTAAAAATTCACGAATGTTACATTATGATTTTGCATAAATTATATAAAATTTTAGTCCTATAATATTATACAATAATACTAACAATGATGGATGGAATGTAACTGCTCTCACACTCTTTTTGTGATTTGTCAAAGTAGCTCTCGATTTGCCTGCTGCTAAATCCCATAAACGTATTGTACAATCATGACTTCCTGTGATTACCTGAAATTACAGATTTAATGTTAATACATCATTTATAGTAACTGTAATTCATTTATGTATTAACTTACTTGAGGTTCTGCTGTTTGACAAATTACACTGGCAACAGTATTAGTATGACCAACCAAGGTATGAACATTAGCCTTAGTACGCATATCCCATACTCTTCCAGTGGAATCTCTACCTGCTGTCACTAATACATCTATGCTAGGATGCAAAGCCATAGAATACACAGCTGACAGATGTCCATGATAATGTCTTATAACCTGCAAAGAATTTAATATTTTATAAAGGATTTCTATAATGAAATATTTATAATATAGGAATATAATTGAACCTTATTGTATTCCAAGTCCCAACATTTAACTTGACGATCTTCACCACAAGAGAATAAATATGGATGTCTTTGCGAGACTGCCAAGCCACGGACACTGTTTATGTGACCAGTTAAGGATACTTTTAATTTACCTGTTGCAAGATCCCATATCTAAAACATTTATCTTTAAATCATTATCATTTTGAAATAATATCAAAGTAAATCTATTATAAATTTCTGCAACATATGAAAATGATATCAAGAAATGTAAACTAGCAATATTCTCATACTTTAATTACTCTATCTGCAGATCCAGTAGCAAACCATTCATTTCCAGGTTCAATGGCACAGCACCGTACCCAACCAAGATGACCACTTATTACTCTGTACAATTTCCATGGTGCATGCCATTTTGGCTTTGCCATAGAAGGAGCTTTTTTAATGGGTACAGCAACCGTAGTATTAGCAGTATTGCTTCCTAATGTGGATGCTGTAGTTGCTACAATGTTACTTGTTGGTGTAGAGTGATATGTTATAACCGCAGAGGGAGCACTTCTACCAAAGGATTCATCTAAAAATTATAAATTGGTTATATATTATTTTGTTGCTTATTTTAATTATTATTAAAATATTATTAGAATATTACTATTATGATAAAATATTGAATAAAAATAAAAATTTCATACCCCCTGGTGGCGGTGGATCTGGATTGTCATTTTCATTTTGTACTTTTGTCGTCATATTGTGTTTAACGCGTTCCATCACAGGACCATAACAATCTTTTGCTTTTACAGATTTTTTCATATTTTGACTATTAACAAAATATTACGATATTTTTACATTTAATACACACACACATATATACATGCATAAATACACTTACAAAAGATTCTATTGTAAAATTTCAGATTATAACTTACAGGTTTTGATCTACAGGTGGTAAAGTACCTTGATTCAATAAAAACATATCATGTGTTCTTTTTAATGATCGAAATACAAGTGTATGCACAGAATGTCTTTGAACATCCTAAAAAAATAAATATGTAAATAAATATGTAAATCAAATGTAATAAATGAATAAATACTTATATAATATATATAATCATTTTATTTACCATGTTGTATCGATAGTAAATAACAGCAAATTATAATCCTATCATTTGGCAGTCTTAGTTTCAGGTTAAAAATTATAACCTCTCATGAGGGATCATTCGCAAAGAGTAAGGGCGATATCAGCGGTAATAGCTGAAAGCTTATAAAGAGAATTACTATCCATCAGATAAAAGGTTTTATGTATTAGAGATTAAAGTTTCAAATTAACATAAATTAATATTAGCGAACTATTAAATAAAAGATTTAATCATAATGATTTTTTATATATGACGGAATTAAAAAAACAATTACTAAGTGGACAGTGACTCGAGAATATCGGCTAATTTCACTACATATTTGGTATAATCTCAAAAATATTATTTTAAATAATATAAGAAATATCAAAGAAAAATTTCATGGGAAAATAACAAAAAACACATAAAATAAAAAATTTGTTTATATGGTAGAATAGCAAGTTTATTGTAATATTTTATTTTTGCTGCAAGGCTTTCATCATTTTGAGTTAAAGAGAATTTTTTATAAGCATTGTAGCAATAAAATTATAAAAAGTGCATAGTCTAAATTATACATTATTTATATTTATCCTATGTCTTAATTAAACATAATAAATACAATTGATAAAAATGCATAATTTTCTATAGCCCCGTTGAATTTATTATGCAGCATGTTCTTTTGTTTTCTTTTGTTTTTTTATTTCAGCCTCATCAATTGGAGCAGGCTTGACAAAAGGAATTTCTTCATCATATTTGGAAGGCATAAAACGAGATAAAACTTTTGGTACTTTAATACCAGTTTCTGTTTGATGTACTTCTAAAATTGCACATATAACACGAGTAACTGCACACATTGTTGCGTTTAACATATGGACATAATCAGTTGCTGTATTCATTTTCTTAGTTTGACCATATCTGAAAAATATAACATTTATTGTTTAAAATGATTAAAAATTAATTGTTGCGTAAAAAAAATAACATACCTAACTAAAAGTCTTCTTGCTTGATAATCTAAACAATTACTGCAGGATACAAGTTCACGAAATGCGCCAGAACCAGGAAACCATGCTTCTAAATCGAGTTTTTTAGAAGCTGCATGATTAAGAGCACCAGAGACAATATTCACAATACGATAAGGAATTTCGAGTTCTTTATAAAATTCTTCTGCATTGCTGATCATTTCTTCCATCATTTCCCATGACTTGTCATCATAAGGCGAAGTTAAACAAAATTGTTCTACCTGTGTATAAATACATGATGAATTTTGTTGCTGATAAAAATATACGTAATACATAGAATATTTAAATTACCTTTTCAAATTGATGAACTCTGAAAATTCCTCTGGTATCACGCCCATGAGATCCAACTTCTTGTCTAAAACAAGTAGAAATTCCAGCATATCTTACGGGTAAAGCATTTTCAGGAATCCATTCATTCCGATGAAAGGCAGCAATTGGTTGCTCTGATGTAGCTATCAAGTATTTTTCTTCCATGTCTTTATCTTCATTACGTTCGCTACTTTTACCGATGACCTATAAGAAAAAAAATAAGTTTATTCAATTAACTGCTAAACAATATCTTATATAAATTGTACCATATATATATATGACCTTATATAATTCCTCATCAAATTGAGAAAGTTGCGCGACTTCTTGCATTGCATCTTTGCGCATGAAAAACGGAGTATATAACGGTTTATAATCTTTTTCAATTAATTTTCTTAAGGCTAAATCTATAAGCGCTTGTTGCAGAAAAACTGCAGGTCCAGTCAAAAAATATCCCCTTCCGCCGGAAACTAAAGTTCCACGTTCGCCATCCATTCCATCAATCATATGTATCAGATCTACATGAGAATATTTCTTTTTCTCGGTACAATCTCCGTAAGTTCTTTCTATCTATAATTTTCAAAACATTTATTAAATATATGATATATATTTGTATCATTCAAAACTAGTTAATACATTTAACAATTCATATACCTTATTTTCTTCTTCATCGTTACTGACTGGTACAGATTCGTGTAAATGATTGCCTACTTCTCTAAGTGCGTTATTTCTTTCAGATTCTGTTAAACTTAAATTTTCGTCGTTACGTTGAATAGCAGTATCAATCAAAGTACGAATACTTTTGATCTGTTTGACAGTCAATGGTTTAAGATCATTGGATATAAGATTATCTAAATTGTTAGCAATTTCTTCAGGTACTTCATCACTGTTGCCGACAGGCTCTTTCTTTTTCATTTTTTCACCAATTTCCTTGCTACATAAATTTTTAACTTTATTTAAATTGTCAGCACGGTGACGCAGCTGTCGCCAATATTTGTCTTTTTCCACAACTAAATCGACTAAAGCTACATCCTTGAAACGTTTCTTTTGATTTTCACGTATTTTTTCAGGATCAAAACCTTTATCTTGTCGAAATAGATCTAAATCTAACACCATGGTTGTTGAAATATTTTAATTTCTTCTAGATTTAAATCCTATGTCTATTCCACGTGGGACCGAGTACCGACTGTGTAGCACTTTATACTGACGTGTTCTAAAACTCTATATTTTATGACTACAGACCTCTATCTTTTTATTCACTCTCATACAAATATCAAAATTTAAACATACGTACACACATAATATATAATCAATTAATATAATTAAAAAACAATTATTATTTTAATTAAAACATTATAATTATACGAAATATTAATAGATTTTAAAGTACGTAAAATATGCATAATGTGTAAAATATATCGTAAAGAATTAACATACAAAAAATATAGTAAAAAATTTATATTAACAAAAGAGATAAATTTAATACATAAATCGGCTCAAATTTATGTGCAAAGAAACATAGCATAATCCTAATCAATATAAATAATCATATTTCATATATATATATATATGAAATTAAAAGGTTATAAATGCAAATTTCTTATATAAATAAATAAATAAATTTTGTTACGCAAAATGAAAGATATTAAAACAAAAAAAGAAAACTAAAAATTGTTAATTGGTAAAATTCAATAAATATAAAATAATATTATATGATATAAAAACGATTGCGTCGATAAAAAAAGGAAAAAAATTCAAATAATTCTACAATAGAAAAACGTTTTTATCATTTATACAGGATATTTTCCATAAATTTGACCACTTCTGGTACGTCGTACAACCCATTCTTCTGATTTAACAGCTTTATTTAAAATCCGTAAGTTCGTTTGCGTGCTTTGAGAATGGTGCAAATGTTCAGAATGTACCTTTGCGATCGAAGAGCCCGGTAAATTCAAATTCTTTGATCGCTGTGATTTCATGCATATAGATTGAAGAGGACTATTACTTGATTGAAGAATTTCTTGGGAAAAAAATGTATCACCACAGGAATGTAAAGTATCTGTTATCCTGGAGTTCGCATATACCATTGGCAGATCGTTAGGTCTAAATCAGATCTATTATTCAAAAAATGTAATGTTCTCATAATAACATTAAATAATTATAATTTTTCATTTAATTCGACGGAACTCACATGGAAATGTTAGTATCCGAAGCATAAAGATTATTATCGTTCTTGAAAAATTTTTCAAAAATTATTAGGATAATAAATGATAGAACACATATAAAAGGTAGAGTTATTAAATCCGAGGATACATGTTTAGGGATGTTATTACAAGTTGATTCCAGATTATCCATGTCATCGTTGTTTGATTCACCAGGCCATGGGAGTTCATGTAGAACAGTATCCTTTAAGAAAAACGTATAAAAATAAAAAAATAAAAAAAAGTGCAAAAACAATTTTTAGTCTGTCACAAAATATATACGCATATCTCTTTTTATAAATATTTTTTTAAGGTTAAATATAGAAACGTACGCGTATGTAAACATAAACTTCTGGAAGTATCAGTTGTAAGAGATAGTACACATCACTAATATTTCCCACCATAATGAATATGTTGTGATATAAAATTAATCAAATTACGAAATCGTTTATCACGATTATGCAAAATTTTCTAGTAAAATTTCTTGTTGCAATATTTCAATGTCAAACAATGAGCGAGAGTCACGTGTCGATACTACATATATTATTTATTTGCATAATAAAATGGGGAATGTAATATTGATAACAGTAAAATGTGTTTTCATTACTTTATTACAATTATTGTATACAAAGTGAATTAAAATCACTCAAAGAGAACGCAATTACCATTTTTCAGTGGTTGCACCTCCCCAACTTTGAACAGTAGCAGATGGTGTAGTAGACCATTCTTCAGTTGCCTAAAATTATACAAATAAAATTTAAGAATTAAATTTCTTTTTCTTTTTTAGTGAAAGGAACAATTACATGTGAACATTATAATTAAAAGATTAAACATACTTGGGACGCCCAATCACCACCGGTTTGGAACGCTGGTGCAGCAGTAGCAGCAGGAATTGCTGCTGGTGCTGGTGCTGCTACTTCATCTGCCCAATTTTCAGCAGGTACAGCATCAGCGTCAACTTCATTAGCCCAACCAGGTTCTGCTGTAGTTGTTGCTTCAACAGGAGCCACGAATTCCTTAGCCGGTGCAATTTCTTTTGCTGCTTGTTCTTCTTTCTCAGCCTAAAGAAGATTTAACATTATGTTTCATTCAAAATTAACTTTTAAATTGAACAAATAATATTCAATAAATATACAAACCTCTTCGGGATCTCTATAAAAGAATAAATCAACGACAACATCCCATTTGGTTTCACGTGGGATGGAACCTCTTAGTCGTAAAACTTCTCTGGCAAGAAGCCACCACATAAGACCAACACTATGGAAACTCTTAGTATTGCAGGGAATAGCAATGTCGACAAAACGTAAAGGCGAATCAGTATTGCAAAATGCAATAACAGGAATGTTCACATAGCTAGCTTCAGTAATAGGTTGGTGATCAGTAGCTGGATCAGTTACGATGAGTAAACGTGGTTCCCGGAAAGCAGCCTAAAGTTAATACATAAAATTATTATAATATTTGTATATATCTTCACTTGTTATTATATTTTTTTTTTAATAAAATCAGAAAAGATTAAGCCAAAAAAAGCAACAAGTATTGATTCTGTATGAAAAATAATCATCATAAATTGAAAGAATAATACAAAGTGTAATTGCAAGCTGATTTCATAACATTTAACACCTGAATTTGATTAGTGAATGCACCAGGCGTAAAACGTCCAGCAATAGGAGTGGCACCAGTATGAGCTGCGAATTTCAAAACTGCTCTTTGTCCAGCTGGACGACAACTGATAACAGATACTTCGCTAGGATGCTCAATAGCAACCACAGCACGTGCAGCCAATAATAATTTTTCCCATGTGTGACGAAGATTGATAACATTAACACCTGCACCTAATAATTAATATATGATAGCTAATTACTATAATTATTGATAGATTTTTCACATATATAAATTATACGACAAATATATTTTACCATCGACTCTCTTTTTATACACATACTGTTCCATCTGGAAATTTACATTTTCTGCACCTAAATGAGTGCATGCAGCCAACATTTTGGTTACATCGTCCTCTTTGAGGGCTAACACTTCTAGACCTCCTGACATCTTAACGTTGTGGTTGAATTACGATTAACCTGCAATACATAAATGTAATTAAAATATCAGCAATCCGTAATCAAAAAATTAGCATTGTTAATTTTTAAACGAATATTTTTATTAATTATTATTATATATTTGTATATATAAATTATATATACACACATGCATATATAGAAAAAGGTAACCTCAAATTATTTTTCATATAAAGAACATTCTTTAAAAATAAAATTATATTACGATTATTTCTCATACTGTAAAATAATAATAAATTTAAATGTACAAAATGTGATTTTTTACATATACATATATATATATATATATACATATATATACGTTTTATTAACTAGCCACGTGTATCAGTACAAAATAAACTTCTGAATTTATTAAAAGTACATATTATTAAAAATTTTATTAAAGTATATATGCAAAAAAGTTTTAAAAAGGTAATTATGCATAAATTCTTTGATAATTGAAAAAAATGTAATAAATAAAATGAAATATTAATTCTAAACTTACGTTATACAATGCCACTAGGAGACTTCCAATCGGAAAGGAAGTGGACACGTTAGCTTCGTTTTAGAAGCGAAGATAAAGATGGAAACTGTAACTACACTAGTTTTTTCATTATAAAATTTATATATTTAAAAGAAATAATTAGAAAAAATAGTCATGTTAAATTATTATTTATTTAATAATATTTGTTTATGAGAAAAATTTAATGATATATATGAAATATATTTAAAAATAATGAGAGAACCGGAAGTCTTAAGTTTTGGTTTGAAAAACTTAGGGATGAGAGAAATTTTGGAAGTATTGGTAAGATTGTCAGCCACGTCTGATGAATGCCCCTAGACGCCATAAGAGTACGCCACGTTCATGTCTCTTATTATCAGTAACCTGCAGTAACCCATTTACCGGCACAACGATAGGGATTTGTAAAATAATCATAAATATTTCTCTTAGACAAATCTAATGACAAAAAGTATGTTTCGAAGTCATCTAAATACTATAATATGGAGTTCCATGCTATTCTTGATTTTACACATTCGTTTTCTTAATGCCGCCGACCTCGTGGATCCGGATTTAAGTTTAAAGATAGTGGAAAAACACATTGACTTGCAATCACAATTAACGAAGATCACAACGAGAGTTATATTAGAAAATGGAAGTAAAGATCGACAAATACGACATTTTTTATTTGCCATTGATCCTGGCCACAAAGGCACTCTCAGCTACATATCTGCTCAACGTGAATCTGGAAGAATAGAACTTAAAGTAAAAGAAGCTAAAGTAGACAAACATCCAGATAAGATTTTTTATTCTATCGATCTTAAAGATCCTTTATCGCAAGGTCGTACAATGTCTGTAGAAGTAGAAACTATATTTACTCATGAACTTATACCACATCCTAAACAAATTACACAAAAAGAAAAACAACTTGTGAAATACATAGGAAATGTTTACATTTATTCTCCTTATGCAGTTGGAAAACTGACTACAACAGTATCATTACCTAGTCGCAATGTTGAAAGTTATTCAAAGATAAAACCTGTGTTCCAAAGTGATTCTACAATTACATATGGTCCATATGAGAAGTTATCTCCATTTTCTTATGAAGAATTAACAGTACATTTTGAAAATAATAATAAGTTCCTTACGGTTACAAGAATTGAAAGATCTATTGAAATATCGCATTGGGGTAATATAGCCGTAGAAGAGAGCATAGATCTAGTACATACAGGTGCTCAACTAAAAGGATCTTTCTCTCGCTATGAATACGCTCGTGAAACTAAATCTGGACAAGCAAGCATACAAAGTTTTGATACCATTTTGCCTGCTGCAGCTTCTGACATTTATTATAGAGATGAAATTGGGAATATTTCTACATCACACACACGTATTAAGAAGGATTCTGTGGAATTGAATTTAAGACCAAGATTTCCGTTATTTGGTGGATGGAAGACACGTTACACGATTGGTTACAATGTACCAAGTTATGAGTACTTATTCCATTCTGGAGATCAGTATGCACTAGAAATGAGATTATTGGATCATATCTTTGATGACATGGTTGTAGACGAGTTAATTGTAAAAATTATTCTACCTGAAGGATCACGTAACATAAAATTAAATTTACCGTATCCAGCAACACGTCTACCAGATAGTTTACATTATACTTATTTGGATACTACAGGCCGTCCTGTCATTTCTGTTACTAAAAAGAATTTAATTGAAAATCATATTCAAAATTTTCAACTGAAATATACATTTCCCCGTCTTTTAATGTTACAAGAACCATTACTTGTAGCACTTGCTTTATATTTACTATTTTTGTTTGTTATAACATATGTAAGATTGGACTTTTCAATTGATAAAGATGAAATATCAGAAAGTAAATTACGTATTGCGGGTCAATGTGAGAAAATATTAGCTGCACAAGATCGTAGAGTTACCTCATACAATGAATTAGATGATCAACTAAATTATTTGAAAACAAATAAAGATGCTAATACATTTTTGTCTGCTGTAAAGAGCATTAATCAAGAATACAAAAGTGCAACAAATGCTGTTGCTGAAATTGCTCAACGTTTAAAGGGAGAGTCAGGGGATATGCATGAACGTGTTCAAGAACTCCAAAAATATGACAAAATATTGAAAGAACTGTACAATCAACAGCAATCACTGTATGTAGATAAGTTAGTTCCTGGAAAAATTGGACGTCAGCAATTTGTTGAAGCAGAAACAGCTATTACAAAGAAAAAAGAAGAATGTGTAGAAAAAATAAATTCTATCGTTAAGTCACTTCAATAATACAACTTTCAAGATTATTTGTTTAAAACATTAATGCGTTTCAGAACAAAAGACTTAGTAATAATGGTGCATTTGCAATACAGTAAGTTTATTATCACGTTTGTAAATTAATCTTAAATAAATTTTAAAAACTATAAATGATTATTGCATAATAAATAATATGGCATTAATTGTACTATAAGATTTGTAATAAAGAAGCGTATAAAAATAATTCACATTTCGGTTTCTTAAATGTATTGATTTATCTATTTATACAAATCTTACGTTATGATAAAATATTAAATATAATTTTAAAAGAAAATTATAATATAATTTAATATTATTGTTATAATTACTTAATAGTTGTTTTTATCTTTATATATAAATTTATTTCATTTAAAAAATAAAAACCAATACTCGAAATCTATTTTTTTTTAATGCGATACAATAACACAAAATATCAAACTATCATATAATCGTTTTGATATCGATAGAGAAATCTCGAATTTGTTATCATATCGCATTCTCTCGGTTGTCACCCCTGAAGTTTATCTCTTAACAAATTTCGCAAATGAAGTGTCGGTCTTAATAAAAATCGCACCAATGATAGCAAAGTATTATTTTTAACATAAGGGAAATGAAAACGTCAAACTTTGGAAACAGTACAATCGTCCATGTGTCAACTCATAGAATCTGTTATCTGAAGGACACCTGCTAACCTCTCAGGGTGTGCCGTGCCTTTTTTCGATTGTCATTCAATAATCATATTTTATGCTTGCTGCCAGAATGACTAATTTACGCAAATTTATAGGTATCATATATATCTTTTTTATTTTAATTATTTTTTCTTATTAATGTAGCTATATTATAATTATTACGATATCCATGTTTATGTAAAAAAAGATTTTAAAAATGTGAAATTACATTAATGTGATCATTAAAAGTATACTTCATATAATTTCATATTTTGACAGATATCGGAGCAAATTTAACCGATCCTATGTATCAAGGAATCTATTATGGTTCACAGAAACATCAACCGGATTTAGATAAAGTTTTGGAGCGTTGCTGGGACAATAATCTTTCCAGAATTATTATTACTGCGGGTAATATGGAGGAATGCAAAAAAGCTTTAGAAATAGCTAAAACGGATGGTGAGTTTTCTTTCTTTTCTTTCTTTCTTTTTTTTTTTTTTTTTTTTTTTTTTTTTTTTTTTTTTTTTTTTTTTTTTTTTTTTGTAAATAAATAAGCATGCAAGAAATCTGTGGTGACCAGGTGTCGAGATACTATTAAAGAAATAGAGCATTGTTACTGTCGCGTCTCTCTATCAGGAACGATATAAAGCTATCTGTACATAATTCTCATGACTATGAGTAAATAGATTTTATATTATATAAAATAACTTATATTTATTGTCATTAGATTTTAATACGATCATTGTGCAAGAAGGAAATGCTGAGAGAGAGATGCAATAGTTGCTGTGATTCTGTTCTGTATCTGCAACAAGAAAATGCATGCAAATGGTATTATACATTAATTTATGCTATAATACAAATATTTCTAAGGTACAACATTTTTATATTATTTTATCAATAAATTTGACTGTAACACAGCTGAATATATTTAAATGTATATTTCAGAAAGATTATTTTCAACTGTTGGTTGTCATCCAACTAATTGTAATGAATTTGAAGAGTATGAAAACCCAGAGGACTATCTTAAATCATTGTCAGATCTAGCAATGGAAAATAAAGATAAAGTAGTAGCTATTGGAGAGATGGGTTTAGATTATGATAGATTGCAATTTTGCTCAAAGGAGATACAAAAAAAGTATTTTGAAATGCAATTATCTTTATGTTCAATATTAAAATTACCAATGTTTTTACATTGTCGCAATGCTAGTGAAGATTTCGTACGCATTCTGAGAAAGCACAAGGATAAAATAACTCCTGGTGTAGTGCATTCTTTTGATGGCAATCCAGAAGAGGCTAATTCTATTTTACAATTGGGATTATATATCGGTATTAACGGATGGTAGGCAGTTATTATATATTTGTACATTTGCTATTATTTAAACTTGTATTTTTCAGTAATTCATGTTAACAGTTCTCTCAAAACAGAAGATAATCTCTTCTCGGTGACTACTATTCCATCAGATAGGCTTATGATTGAAACAGATTGCCCTTGGTGTGAGGTCAGGGCAACTCATGCTTCCGCAAATGATGTCATTACTCATTTTCCTTCTGTTAAAAAAGAGAAATGGCGACCTGATCGTATGGTTAAAGGAAGAAATGAACCATGTACGATAGTGTAAGTAATTTGTGATATTAACATGTTTTATAAGATCAAAAGGTAAAAGAAATATTATTTATTTATCTTTATTTGCAGTCAAATACTGGAAGTACTTGCTCGTATTAGGGATGAAGAAGAAGAATATCTCTGTAACCAAATATATAAAAATACAATGAAAGTATTTTTTCCAAACGATTTATAAGATGTGTCACAGTGAATGAGTATCACAATGAATGAGTATTTGCATGATTGTCGAGAATGTGTTATTCATACGCATTTTATATGCGTGCCGTATTCATAATGAATAATCAGGGATATAAATTGAAAGATCGTGTAAGCAAGAAAAGAATTCACCAGAGGCATTTACTGATAAAAAAAAAATCCAGAAACCACATTTTTACATGCATAGCTTCGTGGTTATCTTTAGATACCACATTCCATTGATCTCTTCCTACATAAAACAACAATATAATAAATAAGCATATATGAACAAATTTTTTGATGTATTTGGTTTATTGTAGACTATGTCTGCAAATTAAATTCATCAAAAAATCTGTTTATATGTGCCTACCTATTCTTGTTAAAATTATTACTATTGCCAACCACCTTCTATCAAGATGCACTATCATTGGTATTATTATAATTCTTATTAGTATCATTACTAATTAATATTATCATATTTATTAATAATAATTGTTTATTGCTAAGTTTATTAATATTATTTACTATATGAGTATTATCTATATACTTGTATTCAACACTAATTGCTAAAACTCATAGAATTATAAAATTAAGCAAGTCGTTTTCTCTATATTTGTTTTTATTACTACTGTGAAAACATTTACAAATTGTAATTTTTTAATATTTTGTTATTTTCTATGTAATGTTATTTTAACATTTAAAAATTGTAGTTTCTAAATGTTTGTGAAAATATGGAAAAAATTATAATTTTATTTAATATATTATTTAATGAGTATACTAAAAAAATCAAATACATTAATCAATATATTACAAAAAATATTAAATGAGTTTGGTACCAAATTAAGATTTAGTTCTTATTAACATCTATTTCACAATAATAATGAAAAGTTACAAAAAAGAACTTCATATTTACGCAGAATCTTCGTCGTACTAATTTAAAACATTATGAAATATTTTAAATGCCAAAATTGGACAAGATATATTTTTGGAATATCACAGGTACGATGGCCGTCATGACATGATCATTGAAACTATGCAACCTTTTCACATCTTAACAAATAAATGCAGAGATAGAGGTAATTTCATTAACAATGAAATCAGTTGGAAAGTAAAGAATTCAGTTTGTTCATGAAACTTTAGAAAGTGACTGCATTTTTTCATATACCCAATGATAAGTTTGACTAGCATATGTCTGTGTCACATCTATAGCTCGATTGGCATAATTCTGCAGATTTTCTGGACTGAGGTCACCACTAAAACAAAACGAAAAAAGATAAAAAAAGAAACAAAAAATCCAATTTTTAGTGTTATATAATTTGATATTATATTAAACTTACACAAAAACATTTGTTCGTAACCAATGACTTGCAAAATCGAAGGTTTCAATAAGTTTCTCTCCTGCTATTATTGAATAATTTTTAGCAAGTTGAAATCCTTGAATACTTTGCTTTTGAATTTGTTCTATCATTCCCGGAAAATAATGCTCGATCTACAAAGAAATAAAAAATTCACACATTTGGCAGAAAAAAAAATAGTTTTAAAAATAATATATATATGTGTGTGTGTGTGTACATACTGTTTCATGTACCATAGGGCCATGTTTCTCTACATGTGCTGCTGCATTATTATATAATCGTATAGAAAGGTTCCTTGTCACAATATATAAATCTTTTCCTAATTTGATATACGGTGTAGAGAAGTTAACAGCAGCTTTATAATATTCTGGTGAACTATCTTCTATAGTTTTAGTTATTTTACTAGTATACACTTCGGTCATCGACCAGATTTTCAAAGCTTGTGCAGTTATTCCACTATTTTTTAATAATTTTCCTGTATTCGAAGCTAAAACAAATAATAAGCAAAATAATTACTACTAGTAAGAGATAAAAAAAATATTTGTTAATTATAAAACTTACCTTCAAAACTACCATGTTTTTGACAGTCATAAATTAAAATAGTACCAATAAGTAATAACAGAAGTATACTTCCTCTTTTCCAAGGGAACTTTCTATCAGTGGAAGCAGTCATTTTCTTTAATATTGCCTAAGAAAAAAACGTAAAACAAAATTTATGATAAATTTGTGTTTCAAAGATAAAATCAATATCAAACAATGCCAAGGTTTCAAATTGTATTAACGGATTTACTATTGGGGAGAAAAGGCGAAAAAATTGTTATCTAATCCTCCATTAGTTACATATTATAGAGATGAGAATAATCGATTATAAATTTTACATCGTTTGCTTACTTTAGAGATTGAAAAAGAACGAAAATATTTGCTTAATTATATAAAAAGTTGACGTAGGAAATAGAGAAGCGATCGTTTCGTATATGTCGTCGAAGATAATAGATACAACCGTACATACCATGTCAATGTCGTTACTGGCGGTGTCGAGGGGTTAACATGCGATCGATAGTACGCACTCGAAAAACAACTTAACCTCAAAATTAAATAAATATAAAAAAATCTTACCAAAACAACTTGTGATTTACGATTTAAAAATATCCGAATGATTATATTTAACGTTTATTTATATTATCAATCGTTTTCGAGTGATAATCAACCAATGATAACATTTACTTGTCGTTATATTATTGGACCAAGTGTACTAGGAAGCGTTTCTATTGGCGCGCTTTTTTTTCAAGAACAGTATATATATAAACACGTATCACACAATGTTAAAGCTAACCGAGAAGATCAAAGTTCGTCTTTAGTTTCTTTAATTCCGTCTGAAATCTCTCTAGAAAGATTTACGCGTTCTGCTTTCGAATGGAATTTACGACGTAACAGGATTTGTTCGATTTATGGTTTAGTTTTAGTAGTTTCTTTTTCTATTCGAGCGTCAGTAATATTCCATGTTATATATACATACTCTATTAACTTAACGGAAAAAGATTTCTTCGAAATATTTTTGAAATATCTTTTTACATTAATACAGGATATGTATTTTTTTTTCTTTTTTTTTTTTCAACAAATCATTGACCATCAAAAGTTGCAGATATTTAGATATCTTTTTCCTTATTATTTATTTCAGAATTTATTTGTTATTTTTTAAATCAGATAAATAATACTAAATAAAAATTAGGATATCATATATATATATATATATATATATATATATAATAATATATAATATAATAATATATTATATATATATATATATAATAATATATAATATAATAATATATTATATATATATATATATATAATAATATATAATATAATAATATATTATATATATATATATATATATATATATATATATTATGCAATAAAAAATGAATAATTTTATTGCAAATATTCTGATTATAAAATATATCTATACATCTTTTAATGGAAATGGTTTTATCATTCTTAAGAGTAAGAATGTTAAGGTTTTATCATGTTTAATAGTAATATTTATAATAGAATTTTGAGAAAAATTATAAAATATATTGAACTTACTTTGCATATTTTAGTACAAGAATGAGCAAGGCTTTCTTCTTTCCCTCTTTTCCATTTCTCATTAGTATTTTGGAAGAATAAAAGAGTTTCTTTGAAAGATTTTGTTTTCAGATTTGAATATAAAGAATCCCATCTGTTATCTATAAAAAGTCAAATAAAAATGTTCAATCATTGAAACTTAATTAAGTTAAATGAAATTAAATTATAAATAATATACACTTACCAATATATGTTAAAAGAAGATTAGATTGATATAGATTCTTTGGATAAAGAGATCTCCAAGTAGAAAGGCAATGGACATCTGTAATAATACAAGCTGCAAGTGCTTTTACTAATTCATCTCTATAGCTTTGAGTTATTTTCTGGTTGATTTTACCAATCAGTATTTCAAAGAATTTGGAATAATTTATACTTTTATTTTTGAACAATATTGACTAAAAAAAAATTGTATAATAACTTTTTGCTATTATTTTTAATCTTTATATTTTAATTACTTCATAAAAAAAAACTCACTCTCAATTTTTCAATACTAATATCTATTTCCTTTCCTACAGTAAGAGGAATGTTAAATTTTCCAAAATAAGTATCTTCGATTATATTTAAATAAAGATCTGGATTCAAATCTTGTACATCCTCATTACCAAAGACAAGATCATTTAGTATTTGTACAACATAGTTGGCATAACTTTTTGTTATCAATAGAGGAGACATTACTTCATGCCATACTTTTAAACCAATAGCCAAGTCTTTTTCGCCAGCTTGTGATAGTGCCCAAAGTAAGGATAAACCTATGGCTTTTCTATTTTGATAAGAGTTTCTTACACTGATTAGTTTAGAAATGTTTGCTATAGTCATTTCTGGATTCACACGTGCCAATAGTTGCAAAAATATTTTATGACCCACAACAGCCGTTCCTTTGGCCATATCTGTAGCCATAGTAGTCAAAGTAATTTCATAAAAAAGTTGAGCGGTTTGTTGACCCGCCATTGTAACGGCTCTTTCCATGGTAGATGATATTGATTTTGGTACGATACATAATGGATAATCTTTAGGTTTTCCAGAAAATATGGCATCTTCTTTCTCAATTGGTATCTTTATATTAAGATATGCAACGAGATTCTTTAACCATATTAGTGGAGCTTCTGGATATTGGAGTCTACCAGTAGTTAAGATATTTGAGAAATCATCTACATTTATCTGTAAACATAATAAAAGCAATATATATATATATATATATATATATTACGTTATAATACAAAAATCAAATTTTAAATAAAAATCTGTGTATGTACCGCATTAAGTGCATCTTTTATCGTCTTTGGTGGTTTCTCCTTGGGTTCTTGCTTTTTTTTTTCTGCCTGTTGTTGTTGTTGTTGCTGTTTTTGTTGCCTCTTTTTTTCTTCATTCTCCTTTGTTTTATTGTCCTTCTCCTTTGCTGGTTTTTTATTTTCCTTATTGCTATCCAAATTGTCGTACAAAGTTTTCACTTGACTTAGTGGAACTAAAAGAGAAATAGTTATAATCTTTCTCACTTTCACTCAATGAAAGTTATTTTTTAATTGCATGTATAGTGTAGAGATGACCCATATTTCTAAATACGGTTTGATAAGTATGCAAATATATTGTATGGAGACAATAATAAGTCATTAGTCGAAAATTTGTTAAAGAATCAAAAAGAGTTAAATTTTATTGATAAAAAAAGGTAATATTGATAAACATTGACTTAGGTTAAATGTTGTCTTACGGAAATCTTCGACTTTTGGCGCGTTTTCGATAAATTTCTTCTTCTCGGCCTTCGTCAATTTAGTTGGCTTTCCATTAGAGCGATCTTTTTTATTTTTTCCAACTACTTTCCAGCCGCCAGACGACATCGTACAACGAACGTGATAAACAATAAGGCAAATGACAACACTGTCTCGAAGGCACTGAAGTGGCGTTTGTTGGCAGTTTGTTGCCGACTGAAACGTTGTACGTGTCACGCATGCGCACTTTCATATTTGCCACGCGCTGACTTTTACTCTGCCATTAATAAAAAAAAAAATGTTCTTTCTATGTACATCTCATGGGCAGTAGATAGATGTTTTTCGGTAATAGGATAATTAAAATGATGATATTTATTAGAGGGACGGTAAGTATAAATGTTTCTTTAAATTTAAAATCGAAATAAAAGTTAAAAAAAATTCATTGAGAACTCTTTAGAAGAATTCATTTTAAAATAATTATAACGGTTCATCACATAAATATGATTATCGATTAACAATATTTATATTACTTCGTCCCAGAAGTTTAAATATAGAAGCGATGTATGTGTTATATTATTAAACGATGACGCATCGATCCGCGTCATCGTTTTTAATTTTTTTTTATATCACTCACGTGACTTCTATGAAAAAAAAAATTCAAATTGTTTTTCAAGGATGATCCAAAAAACATTTTACTGAATTTAATTGTAAATAGTGTTAGTGAGTCGAATTTGAGGAAAATAGTAGGCTATCCGATGTTTATTATAGATAGATTTAAAAATGGCGGGCCAGCAAAAAAGGAAGTTAGAAGTAGTCAAAGTTTGAAAAACAAAATTAAAATAAAATATTTTTAATCCGACATAATTTATAAATGTCATGCTTCATAGTTTTATTTTTTTAAATAATTTTTTAGTAGCATCGTTTTTAAATTCATGATGCTCATTATGAAGAATATTATATTCTAATGATCGCGGTAAAAAAAAAATATAGAAAAGTTCTCTCAAGCAGATATCGATAGGTTGGTATGGGGGGCGTTAGAAGTTTCAAATTTCACGGGGCGTTTTGTTAATTGTATTCCGCTGCTAATGAACATCCAATTTAGTCGATTTGGAGCTGTTGGCTCATTTTAATCAAAATGAGGATACTGTGGTTGTTCGGTTTCTTTGTCATCTTGATGGAACGAACTAGTATGTGAATGATAAAGTTTTAGTACTATATATATAAATTTGTCGTAAAAGTGTGATTTATTTATTGTCTCTTCTCTAACTCGTACTATATCGTTACATAATGTGATTTTGGGAAAATGAACAAAAAAAAAAAAGAAAATGTTGGAATTTATGAATTTAACAAAAGAGAAAAAAGATGTGTAAAATTTCATCTCTCTTTCTTTATTTTTTTTTCTTTTTTTTTTATTAATATTTATGTATATTTTATATTCAAATATGTAGATGCCACTGAGAAGAGGTCATTTTCCGTGCATGAATGTAAGTCCATCGAGAATACGTCGATGATGATGAAGTTGAAGAGACATCTTTTTTGTGATTATGATACCACCGTTCGACCGACTACCAATCATCAAGTGGTCACTAATGTTACAGTGAAGCTTATGCCAAAGTTATTGGAATTCGTAAGATTTTTGTGAAAATTAGAATTAAAATAGAATAATTAAAAAAATTTTTTTTTTATTCATGTTTATTTTATTACATAGGATGATTGGACCAGCACAATGACCCTTCATAGCTGGATGAGCCTCGTAAGTAAGATACCATACTTATTTCTTGACCTTTGCAAATATTTATATGCGTGTCTTGACATTACTTCATTTTTATTGTTAATAGAATTGGAAGGATGAACATCTTAATTGGAATCCTAGCGATTTCGATGGCATTTCTACTGTCCATGTAAATAGCGATGAAATATGGGTACCAGATTTATCAGTTTATAATTCGTAAGTGAAAAATAGTCTAAAGAAAATTTTACTTTATCTTGTATGTTATTATTTCACTATATAATTTCATTTTATTAGTCAAATAATTTATGTTGCAGAGGTGATATGTCATTAGAACAGAATGGCGTTCCTTCAACCAAATGTTTGATCATTAATACGGGCTCGGTTATCTGTATACCGGCGTTGAGTTACGTGACCAGATGTATTACGGATTTTACCTTTTGGCCTTACGATAAGCATGAATGTCGTATCAGATTTGGTTCCTGGTCGCATACTGGAGAAGAAATCAATTTTCACCTTGACAAGAAAGGAGTACATTTCTTTTGTTCGATTTAGAAATTTCGAAAATATGATTTTTTTTATAGAAAAATTATTTAAATAATTATTAATTACATAGTATGAGATGGAGGGTTATGCAAATAACACGGAATGGAGTTTGAAGATTTTGAATGCTGAAAAGATCGTGAAAAAATTCGAGTGTTGTCCTAATGATACCTTCCCTATACTTGTTTATACATTTTCTGTCGAAAGACAACCGGGATTGGTACATGTTACTTTTGTTACGCCCGCTATAGGTTAGTTGATTTTAATTATGTCAAGAGAAATTTCGTTTAAATTACTTTTTTGATCATTAAATGATTTTTCTACAAAAGCGATAGCATTGCTAACGTTGACGGTTCTATGGTTGGATTCAGGATCGACAGAAAGAATAGCGATGGCCAGCATGAATTTCATTTGTCACTTACTTTGCATTTTTGATTTGCACTGGCAATTGCCCCATAATGGTGAGAATGTACCACACATATGTAAGTATTCAATAGATTTATAATTTATTCACGAATATTTGATAATTTAATGATAGGATGTTGACGATTTCAGTATTGTTTTATCGAGATTCTCTCGCGTTGGCTGCATTTGCTTTGATATTAACAGCATTGCTAAGAAAATTACAAAATATGAATATGGAGACACCGAGTTGGATCTCGTTCACGATCTCCTTCGTTTTGAATAACAGAGCAGGACGTTTTTTGATCCTTACTGATGATGAATCAAAAGCTTCGACCACTAGTATATTGAACAATGAAACGGATGAAAATCCAGATCTATCGAAAGTAAATGGCAGGAAGAAGGAATCATCTTGGAGACATTTCGCTGCGATCATCGAATGGTTATCTTTCATAGCTGTTGCCTTGACCTACGTGATCATTTTTACAATTCTTGTACCTTCCGATTAGAAAGTTTTGTAAAAATAATATTTTTTTCTTTGCTTCTTTTTTTGCTTTAATTTCTTTTTTAACGACTATCAAAAAAAAAAAAAAAACGAAAAAAGAAAAAAAAAAAAAGAAAAATTTTAATTAAGAGAACCTGTACATAAGACATATTCATCGAATATCTTACGAGTAAAAATACATATACATATATCCTGAAATTTTACTTATCATTTATAGTATGTATGTACATTGAATAAACTATAAAAAAATCTTCAAGCTTTTAGTTATTATAAAATAGACTCTTTTCGTTGGAAACCTTTCAATGTTCTATATGATAAAAATATAGAAAGTCAAATTAAAATAATAATAATGATTAATACTTATATATAACGCATGACAATGGTTTAATGAAATTTTCGACATAGAGATTTTTCTCATGAAAATTATTTGGATTTAATTAGATTTAATTAATTGGAATTAAGTATATTCCTCAATAAAATAGTGATATATACATAAATCTTTTAAAATGATAAGGAATATGATTTCTGGTGGGCGGTCTTTAATGTCTGCAGTTTTATATTACATTGGGCGTACTGACGTTTAACATACAGTTTGAAATAGTTAACAACGGACGTATTTAATTGTCATTCGTGATCTTCGAAAAAGTCAGCATGATTTTATTTGTTCTATTATTAATTGGATATGTTACTCTTTCCGATACATCCTTCATTTTCAATAATTACGAGGTACAAGAAAATTTAGGATGTAATGAAATCGAAAGCAAGTCTACTGTTCTTCAGCTAAAAAGACATCTTTTCTGCGAATACATTAAAAGTATCAGACCGGTGTCAAATCATAGAACGACGACAAACATCGAATTCGGAATAATTCCGAAATTTATCAATGTTGTAAGTGTCATCTAATGTTTCTCATAAAATTTTTTCGTAAATTGCGAAATATATTTTTTTTTATTCTTTTCTTTTTTCAGGAAGATGACGAAAATGTCATGGAACTGCATTGTTGGACAATACTCGTAAGTAAAATAATATTTATACGTGTTTTCATTTTTTATGTTGGTTTTAATATGGTTCTTTAATTTGTATGTAAGATGTGGGAGGATGGCCATCTCACTTGGGAACCATCACAATATAACGATGTCAACTTCCTTCACGTAAAAAGTAACGAATTATGGATATCGGATGTCATGATGCATAACTCGTAGGTTGATAAATATACATATGTCGGTTATATTGTCTTAGAATGTGTTTATGTATTCATTTTTTTCTGATTTTATCTTTTTTCTTTATTTCGCATACAGTGGATCCCATGAAAACGAAATACCATTTACAAATTGTTGGTTATCCAACACGGGTAAAGTCAAATGTGTAGCAACTACTAAATATATAGTAAAATGTCTTAGGGATTATACCTGGTGGCCTTACGACTTTCAAAATTGTACGATTCAAATTGGTTCATGGTCCTACTCCGATGAGGAACTCCAGTTTGTTCTTATAAATACCGGGGTACGAAATATTTATGAACAATGTGAATTTTTATATTAATATTATATTTGCATTTTTTCTTTTGTTATTATATTTTATAGATTATTATGAACGAATTTCAAAAAAATTTGGAATGGGAAATAGTACGATCTTACGTTATTACACACACGGAATCTTACAAATTTGGCTTTGACCTAACTTCTGCAATGATATCTTTTCATTTCATTTTACGACGACATTTTAACGCTATACACGCTACTTATTTGTCATCAATTATCAGTACGTAAAATTTTTTAATATTATTATTAAGTTAATATATAATTTATAGAGACGATAAAGAATTATATATAAATACACATATGTATCGCGAACATTAGTACGAAGTTTGAAAGAGTGGAAAGGAAGATGGCGATACAAGCGCCATAGCGGTAAAAAAAGCGAATTTGATTTACATTAAGAGATACATTATTTCTTTATTTATATTTTTAGTATTAATAATAATGACATTGACGACTTTATGGCTGAATCCAAAATCTACCGAACGAATGATACTTGCAAATTTAAATTTTATATGTCATTTGTTGTTCTTAGAAGAATTCTATTGGCAAATACATGGTGGCGATTCTACCATGTTGAGTGAGTAGTTTTATGATTTATAAAAAAATCTTTTTTATAATCAACAAATTTATCGATAATCTAATTTTTTGTTTTACTTTTTACAGTGAAATTCTTCATGAAGTCACTCGCTCTAGCCTGTTTTACTCTTATTATAACTAGTATTTTACGTCATTTATTAGAATTAACAACAGAGACTCCAACATGGATCGCAACGAGAATTTCTACCATTGTAAAAAGTAAAATAGGACGGATTCTTCTTGTAAGTATCTTAGATCCTAAAGCATCTGCAGAATTGGAAACTGAAGCTGAAGATAATGCTAATCTTGTAATTTCAAAGAAAAATGAAGTAACTTGGAAACATGTTGTGATGCTTATTAGTTGGATCAATTTTCTTTGCATTCTTTTTATTTACATCATTTTGATTAGTATATACTTTCCAACTCAATCTTCTGGATATTCTTATAACTTCAATACTTAAAATCTTTCTTAAGATAATTATTTTCTTAAAAATGGTATATATGAACTATAAGCTTAACTTTGACTGTGATTTAATGTGTTAATAAAGCTATTATAAAAATATTAATAACGTTATTATATTGTATAATCTTGAGAGTTAATAATATATTAAATTATGAAAAAATATCTTTTCTTATTTTAATTGAAGGTTTTGTAACAATAAAAATGTTTAGTTATAAATACATTTATTTTGGAAAACATGTCAGATCTGAATGATTTTAACATTCATGTATTCATTCTCACGATACTCATACAATGATCGCTACAAAAAATGCTCGTCGATATACTTATATACTTTATTTCATGAATATAACAAATCACGAAGTCAATAAGAAATATTAAATTTTGTATATTGAGTATCATTGGGCATATCTTATGATAGAACAATTTTTTAATTTATGATCATGTTAAATAATAAATTTTATTATTATATATAATTATAATTTTCAAATAGAATGAGAAGGCCTATAGTAAGAAATTGTCCTCAGTTCATTTGATTTTTTGTTAAATGACGTTTTTCTTTTTAACAATGATTTTTCTTACACTATTTACACTCGCAATTGAGCAATAATATTATTGGAAGGAGATAACTTACTTGCTAAATGTGAATGTTATTTGAATGCATTCTCATATACAAATATCAATGTGATCTTATGGAAACATTCTTCTTCTAAAGAATAATAGAAACATGTACAAATTTCTTCATTATATTATTTATATATCTAATCTTAGAGAAAAATAGATAATGCAAAAATAAATGCAAGAAAGAAATTCTTAAAGTGATACACGATAAAAAAAAACAAAAACAAAATGGCAATTGATATATGAACGAGAAGACAAAAAATGAAAAAATAAAATGGAATGTAATAATTCTCACTGTGATTGATAAAGTAAATAATCCTTTAATATTCGAGGAAGTGGAAGAGAGTCCACTGCATTCCTTTTGGTATATTGCAAAATAGCATCTCTACAGGCGCTTTGTAATGTTGACACTGTTAAAATATATTTTTAGGAAATATAAGCTGAAGATCAATTTAAGAGAATGATATATAAAATAAGGAAACAATGCATACCACCGTACAGTTGCACTATCCTCACTTGTTTCGTAGTACCATAAACATCTACTACAGCACGCAATGGTCCAGCTTTATACGGTATATCTTTACTACATACTCCTTGATCTTCTCCATTTATAATAAAATGCATCTCTGCTGTATCAGACCCAGCCTGTGGCACATACATAATTCCAATACGACTGCCAGCGTCAGTAGGCAAAATATAATGGGATGATTCAATAGTATTTGGTCTAAGAGCATTAAATGGTATAACACCACGAGATGTTTGAACGTTTACTCCATCTGTGACCAGCTTCTTCTCTCTGGTAGGGATACCTTCACCTAGAAGAATAATAAACGATTAGTTACTAAGGTCGCTTATAGAAAAGCAAAGTTAATCTTTTCTCACCATAGCCAGTGCCTGCGATACCTTCAAAGCTATCCCAAATAGTATAACTTTTGGTGATAGCGAAAATCCAGGTATTACCAAGTTTTACCAGATTGGGCATAGCATATTGGGGCAGACTATTCTTAACGGATGCTGGGTCAATCAAAGTCAATCCAAGACGCATGTGACCGCTCCAACCACTTTCAGTTTTCTCAATTTCCACTAGGAATATCTCACCTGGTTGTAATGGTTTCTCACTGAATGCTAAAGAGTTAGCGAAGCTCGCAGTGCGATAAGCCACTGTGCTATCCTCGCGAAGTACGATGTTTTCTCCGTGAGTTGGATGAAACCTTGTAACGATTTTTCTCGACTTTTCAGCCATCCTGTCTCAAAGGATGTAGAAAGAAAGTAATTTACTACTAAGAGTCGTCGAATGCCTCGAACAAACTCATAAATTTATTAAACTCCATCGAGGAGGATGAGTCAAGGTTAAACGGTGATTTACGTTTAATATCAAACGTATCTTCGATTCTTCGTATTTTGATATAATGATCTCTACGATAGAGAGAACACCTTGTAAATGACACATTGAAATGCCATCACTGGCCTGGTTACATCGTCGATCGAAACTATAAATTTGAGGTTAAGCTAGTATCATCACGAACTTTTAAATAAAGTAACGGGATCGTTAAGAAGCTTAGGATCGATTTAAGGAATTCCGTTGTGGTGACAAATAAGATAACCGAAGTTGTATCGACAAAATTTGTCCTCGTGTTTACTAATCGAACGTCCACCATTACAGAATCCCAAAGCGGCTCGAGATCGGAGCACGCGCGGTTCCGAAAAGGAAATCATTGTCCTTCTCTCTGGACTGACCAGTGTCGCTGCAATATCGCGGATTAAATAGCAGTCGATTTAAAGCTGCTGCTTTATACATCCGCCTCTTCGATATATGTACGTATATATGTATGTAATATATGTGTGTAATGTTTAAAAATCTTCTCTTTTATCGAGTGAACCATTCATTACGATTGAGATTTGCAAAGACTACGATAATTATTTGATAATATAAAAAAAATTCTCTCTTACAAACATAAATTGTATTTCATTTATTCGATAATTCCTCTTAAATAATATATCCAAATCACATGAGAGAGTCTAGGATCTGTGCAATGCACAGAAAGTTTACCCGTCACTGGACACTTTTCATAAAATTCAGTTTCGTCCGTATGTCGTAAATTCACTATCACATTAATTTCCTTAAAATAATAAATAATTATATTATAAATAATATAAATATTAATAAACAATCGGTATTATTTTAAAAGGTTACGATACACCAACCTGTTTCGGATTAATATCTTGTGATGTTGGTTTAATCTCGAAATCTAAATTACTATTCGCGAGGAATTCGAACGTTTTTGTTTCTTCGAAAATATTTTTGAATTTGATCATAACTGGTGAATTCGCTGTCATCGTGTATGGGCCTTGAGGTTTTGGTAATGAATAAGTACCAATTATGGGATATCTAATACAAGGGATGAGACATTATGCGATTACGATATAATATTCATTTTGTAAAATATTAAATCACACGTTTTTCCCGCCTTTTCTTACGTAAAAATGCCCGCCGTTTTTGAAGTGGCTGTTAAAATGGCCGTAATATTTTCGATATCGTGCGGCTCGTAAATGACATCGATCGAACCTTTTTCCAATCTTTCCAATTCAATCTTTTTAGGACAAATAAAACTATCGTTGTTTACCTGCATTAAATATGCAAATATAATGTGAACTTTTTTTTATACTCCTATTTTACTTATACGTTCAGTAAATTTATATTTATTCTAAAATTTAATTTTTTTGTCCTTTTCTATTTTCATTTTCTTTTTCTTTTTTTTTTTTTTGTTTTAATTAAAATTTTCATTAACTAACTTCAATGACAAAGTCTGCTTTCTTCAAAGTAAAGTTTCTTATTGAAAGTGAAAATTTCACAATATTTCCTAATGTCGCCGTGACATGCGTAGTTTTTTCTGCAGCCGGAAGTAACGCCGTTAATCGTAATTCATATGGGAAACATCCAAGTTCTTGACAATTTATATCAAGCTTTTCAATAGTTTCTTCGGACGTCAATATCGGATTATAATTGATCGTAATAAATCCCTAATATTTAATTAAATATATTATTATATTATTGTATTTTTATATTATAGCACATTATAAATATATTATTGTATTTTAATTAAGATAATAATATTTAATTAAAGATAAAAGTCGAATCAATTAAATCTTTAATAATATAGATTTATCTGTGATATCGAACGAATCATCGTTCTAACTAACGTTTGATAATGGTGACACGGTTATAGGTATGTCATAAATGGTGATTGCTGGATGACGACAATCAAATGTAAATGTTACAGGGATATTCTCTAATGGATTATAAAGTTGCAATGTGTGACATGCCGACGAACGTACGTCCGTAATTAATTTGATCGATTCGATGACTTCCGGTTTTGTTATGGTGTATTGTATCTCATAAAATTGATACTCTCCATCCTCATTGATAAACGTGATCTGTTAATATAAAGAAATATTTTTTAAAAATAAATTAAGGCACATACTCATAGAAAATACATATATATTAATAATTCTCGATTTTTTACCTTGAACTGAAAGTATGATTCTTTATAAGAATGAAAAATAGCACGATAGTCGCGTTGATTATTTGACGGTACATTAATATTGTTATCGCCAGTAAAACTGAATATTGGAATATTATTAGAGCCCTGTAAATACAATTTCTTTTCTTCTATAGTTTCTATTATACATTTAAATTGTTGATGTCTGTTTTTCCAATTATACACGGGCAATAATTCTGTATATTTCATTTTTGCAGGAAACTGACGTACAATCGTGGATATAGCTTGTGGAGGTAAGCTGTGTCCATGTAAAGAGTATAACAAAGGTATTTTGTTGTCTGGTAATTTTATCAACAATATTCCCTAAAACATTTGTTTTTGATATTAACTGAATACATTTATTATTATTATTATTATTATTATTATTATTATTATTATTATTATTATTATTATTATTATTATTATTATTATATATTTTTGTCAGATGCTATTATTATTATTATTATTATTATTATATAATACAATATTATATTATATTATATTATATTAATTCGCAGAAAATACTTCGCATTCACATTGCATAGTTCATTATTGTTCAATCTATTTTAGTCTACTAAGGTACTATAGCACGTTCGTTTACCTTATGAAGATTGTCTTCGGTATTCATAACAAGTGGCTGATAAATGACGGTACAGGAAGTAGACTCTTCCGGAGGAATATTGAGAATATTGTCAACGTAAAAATGTTCTCCAGATATTTCTGGCTTTAATTTCCACGGTAATACAGTATCGTTAAAGACGTTTATGGATTTGGATTTTTTCGAACGAACAAAAGTCTTAAAAGATAATGTTTCAATCGGATCCGGTAATTTTTTACAAGCACCAGTTATTTTTATTTTCAATGTGTCAAACTTTTCTATCACGTTTTCTGCCTGAAGCGTATTTTTTATTTATTTATTAAGTAGGTATGTACTAAATGCGATATATATATATATATATATATATATATATATATAGGGTTACTTATATATATAAGTAACGATTGAAGATAAAAAATGTTTTAAATAATAACTTATCAGTACTTGATGGTCAATAAATTAGTTAACACTATTACCATTACTATCTAAAGTATCTGAAAAATCGTGATGATCGTTACTTGAAATACACTATATATACTCTATTATATATTATATATACTTTGACGACAGATTTAATTGTACTCACGTATCCTTCAATTACATTTCTTTCGTGAATCGGTTCAAATTTCACGATAAAATGAACGTTGGTGCCGGGAGAAGAGTAACCGGATTTAGGTGAAATTTTAAAATCGATCGGCAAATTCGACGTATTCCATGTAAACCTTATAGAAGTTAAAAATATTTTTATTATCGAGTTTGATGTTAGTTTGTTTCAGGATAACTTACTTTCCTCCTACTTCGCCAATATTCATTAAAATCAATTTAGTTTCACTGATACAACCTTGAATGACGGTACCAAATGCGATGTACGTTTTGTCTAAACGAAACTCTGGTCCAACGCAACTACCGCGAAGTATAAGAAGAGAGAAAATGGTCGAGTCGACCATAGCTCCGATTTTTTGAGTAAACATGTTTATCCTAGACGTTGCTTTGAATTTGATCGTCAAATCTATCTTTTCGTTCGTTCGAACTTGTGTCATATTGGATGGTTCAATTATCAGAGCTTGAGCAGCATATGTCATATCCATTCGAAGACTTTTATCATCCTCGTTAAATTTTTTGCTTTTTAACATGGATACATATTCCTGATATCTTATGATTTCCTCGTACGATTTTGGGATACACGTGGGTATTTTTTCTACATATCTTTTGTCTTGCAATAGATTGCTCATTAGATCGAATTTCAAATCAACCGGTGCTCGACCCTCGTTAATCACAGATACTGTTTTTATCAACGTCTTATGTACCGGTACATTACCCAATTCGATTATTTTATCATGTGAATTTACCAGACGAATCTATATTTTTATTTGAATATATTTTAATCGAATAGTACAGTAAATTTATATATATATATAAAAAATTAAACGTTTGGATTTAACCCTTTTTTTTATAAAATGTTATAATTCTAAGTTTTTTTTTTTAATTGTGAACTCTTACTTTGTAACTGATTCCTTCGCCAGTGATCTTAACATTTTCCTCGACAGCCGAATTGATTAGAAACGTTAAGATTTCTTCGTAATTAATTTCCTGCATAGGTCGAAATTTGATAGGAATACTTATGCTGGATTTGCCTGCCAGAATTTGAGATAATTCATTTAAATTAATCGACATATGTGGTCGTTCCTCGAACTTGCATTCCAATCTATGGGTAAAAAATTCATTGATCGTTGTGTTTTCGAATAGAGTGTAATATCATTATCAAAGAAATCAATGTTCTCACATGAGAGGCTTGTTCCCAGTATTGCTCACGCGCAATTCGGTTTGATAAGGTGATGATTCTCGCACGTAACAGGGACCAAAATTGTATTGACGAAAGCTAAATTCTATAGAAGCTTTACACGCAATTGCTTTTAAAATTAACCGATAAGTTGGACCTTTCGAGATCTATGAAAAGGAAAAAAGATAAAGAAATAAAATATCCACCCAAAAATATTAAAATTCGTATCGTTCAATATGTAAAATCAAGTTATAAGAAAGTTACCTTTAGGATAACACAATGATTTTTTATAAACATTTTTCGTTTAGCCATCAAAGTTAGACAACAAGTTGTATGGGATTCGCTTGTAACGTGACCTTTTCTTTCAGATATAGATATTACATACGCATTCATACTGATGATCTCTGGTGTCATACCAAGATCCCATGTATAGTAAAATGTTACATTGCCTGAATTGATTATTTTGAATCTAATGATATTAGATCTTTTAGGTACTATCTATATCAAATTTAAGAATATTAGCAAATAGTTTCTATTTTATATATATTCATCATAAAAGTTTCGTCGTTTTACTTTGCCGAAGTCGATGATATTATCTTGATGATCCAACAATTTGATATCCTCATTCTTCTTGTTAATGTACGTGATGCAAGGCATTATGTCATAAGTTGTGGTGGTTATAAAAAATATAAGTGGATTTCTTAAGAATTTTAGGATACATTGGACAGAAAAATGAAATTCTCCTACTAACTTTGGTTTATAATTAAACCTGAAAGTTTTATATGTATGATTTTTATGCACACGCATAAGAATTATTAACAATTTTGTTTTTTTTTGTTTTTTTTTTTATTTATATTTTCTCACCAAAACGTTTGCTCGTCATTCGCTTTAAGAACACCGTTCATTGGTGTCACTATAATATTTTGATAATGTCCTTCGGAGTACAGACTTTCTTCTGATATTTTAAAAGAAATATCAAAATCTTCTTTATTGATAATACTCACGGAATCTTGTACTTCGAGGTCTATTTAATAAAAAATAAATTCTACAAAATGCAAATGCGATAATAAGAAAAATTTATTTTTACGCTTTTTTTACTGACCCAGAAGAGTAGGTTTCATTTTTAAATAAGGCCTCGTGCAGTATATTATAGGTTCCTTAACTATAGCAACAAAAAGAAACAGACATTTTAGATCATATTTTTTGATCGAGAACATCCAAAAGGACTCGAAAGTGCCAACGTCAGTTGATAAAAATGTGAATGCCATTTCAGTTTGTTTCCCACGTTCTGCAACACCTTCCGATACTAAACATTGAAAATTGGTGACCTCGTTGATGGAATAAGGAGTATGATTTTTCCAAGAAAAATGATAATTATCGGCAGTAGGATTTATCATAGGAAATCGTCTGAAAAATAAAAACATCGAATATATTTTATTAGAAATATAGTTCTATTTATTTGGTCACTATGTTTATTAATTAATAAGTACATATTTTTTTAAATAAATGATCAGTACATACATACACACACACACACATATATATTAATATATATAAATATTTCGATCAATATTTACAATAAAATATCAAATAAAATTTATTCTCATAAAATATGTAAATAATTAATTGTCAGAGTTGTACCCGGGTTTATTACAAATACTGATCTATTTAAAATACCAATAGATTATTATATTTACAAATATTTTAATTAACATACTGACAGTTTTTTTATTAATCGTTGTAATACCAATCACTTATATTACGTACTGATATTTTATTTTAAATAGTGATTAATTTATTATAAAATATCAATTAATAATATTTAAAAATATTAATTCAATAAATAACAGTCTTATATGTATTAGTATCATATTTTTAAAAAGTTAATATCATTCTTACTTCGTGTGAACATTACCAATACCGATCACATTCAATTCGATCACTCTAATGTTTTCTACAATCACATCGGTCATTGAGTACCCGATAGGTCCTGGTAATTTTCGATCACGTTTGCCACTTGATATGTAATCACTTTCAGGTACATCAAAGTGACAATAAGGAAGTATACTTCTTGCTTTGATAGGGATCACTAATTCTGTTAACTTTGGATTAAGATTTTCTATTCTGTAAATAATATTGACGTTAATTATTATTATAATTATTTGATCAGAACGATGAAGTATTTTTACAGAGTATACTCCGTTCTTTATCGTGATCATATGTGTTTAATATTTTTGAGTTAAATTCTGAGAATTTATTGATCAATTATATCAAAAGACATACTTGCAATTAAGATACGCTTTGTAATCAAATACATCTCTGGGTGAAAATGTTAGGGTACATTCTAGAGATTCTCCGGGTAGCATTGTCCCACTTCGTGGAACTACCTCGAATGGTAGATCCTCGCCTTCGAGCCAACTGTCGGTACTTCGATCCGTCAGGCAGGCTGTGCTGCTATAAAGATCTGACTCTTTGCAGGTACACGGACGTGGTTTTATGTCCAAGAAAGGTTCTAGGAAATAAAAAGAAGAAGAAGAAGAAAAAAGAGGAAAAGAAAAATCGTCTCTTTTATCAGACGTTTCTGATTTGATAGATCTTTTGCAATCTCTATTTGACTCATAAAAGTCGTAATTTTAAAGAAAAATCTGTTTCTCTCACCATGACTAGGAAGTGGTTTACAACGATGTAAACGTAAGTTATTGTTATCATTCTTTTCAGTCGGATAAAGAACTCCTCGTGATGATTTTGATCCTGACGGAGATCGAAATTCACAAGATCTCGATTTTTCGCTGAGGCGTATCGTACTACCTGATATTCGTTTTGGATATTCTTCATCCATATTTATCATCCAAACATAATCTGTATTAACGTCGCTTGGATTCGATAAGGTGAACGTGTATTCACGTTTCTATATAAATTAGAATAATAAAATTTTTAATGTTAAAAAAAAAGAGAAATTAATTTACGTTGTTACTTGGAACATAAGTGTGTCCTTGAAATCGATCGAAGTCGTTGAACAAGAATATTCTGAAAATCCTATTATTGCGTTTATTAACAAAAGTATACATCTAGTTGTCCCAGGTATTGTAGCATGTTCTGGCTCATTAGTTGGTTCTACGTTCTTTTTCGATAAGCTATCCTCTTTATTGCTATCGGTGATATCGATTTTCTCCCAACGTACGATAGTTTGCCTATCGTCCCAAGAATTTTCTCCCGTGTAGTTCGAAATTTCGATTTGCGAAACGACACACTCTAGTCTGGTCTGAATATAATATCGTCACGTTTTCCTTGCTGATCTTTTTTTTTCTTTTTCTTTTTCCTTTTTTTTATTAGAAACACGTTCAATCTATTTTCTACAAACTTACTACATCATGTCTCTTAGGTTCAGATTCGAGCAAAGTGACGGTAACTTGTTTGCTCGTTGAATGTTGAAGATGTCCAATCGATGGTTCGAAAACTACGTTGGGATGAGCGGCCCATTGAAAACGAAAACATCGATCCAAAGTTTTATTCACGATCTTGAATGTTTTTTTATACATTTTGTTGATCTGACACGTACCGTAATCCAATTTATAAGAGAGAAATACAGGTGGTGTTGTATCTAAAAAAATATATTTTAAGTTTTATCATACGTATAATTTTCTTATTGTTACTATTTCTTTTTTCATTCAGTGTCTATCACCTGTTAACGAACTAGAAGATAATTTATTTTTCTTCGAGTTCAATTCTCGACGATTATTAGACTTGAAGTTAAGAAACTCTAAATCCTGAAGTACGATCGATTCGAGGAAGCTCTCACCTTCGAGATCGATCGTTAAATTGTCGTAAGGATTATCAACGATAAAAAGACGTATACGACCTGTATACTTTCCAATATATTTTGGTGAAAATATAACTTCGAAACTTGCAACATCTTGTGGCATCATACGAATAACAACGGTGAAGCATCGTTTGTCTCGAACTTAAACAAAATATATTAGAATTTCAATATTATATCTTATAGTGAAAATAAATTTTATGAAAGGTTTTCTCACCATCGTCCTCATAATCCGTTGTATGTAGAAGAGTCTGAGTATCGGGAGTAGCTGAGAAGCTGAAGATACTATTGGGATCATCATAAATTTCAACGATAACATTTGCTTTAACAAATCCGATATTTTCAAAAGAAAATTTTTCAATACTCGTTTCTTCTACGAGTGTACGATGAAATCTTATGATTGGTCTATCATGTACACCACCGATTGTTGGTTCCGTTATTGTTATTTCCGGCACGCAGGCTTCACCGATTAGGTCAATCATCAATTTTTCTGTATTTATATGAACTGGCAAGTTTACCGAGATCTCTAAATACCCATAATAGGTCTGAAACGACATGGTAGAAGGAAATTATCTTTTTTCTTATGACCTAATTGCAGAGAGAGAGAGAGAGAGAGAGAGAGAGAGAGAGAGAGAGAGAGAGAGAGAGAGGGAGAGAGAGAGAGAGAAAGTGAGAAAGCTTCATGGAAAAAAAAGAAATAAATAATAAAAAAACAAAATAATTAAAAGAAAATGATACGAAGTACTTCGATCAATGCAGGAGAGAAAGTGATGTTGATCCTTTTATAACTATAAGCTGGTATCCGTTCCTTTTGTGGTTCCACAATAAAAGTTGTAGCTTTCACGTTCGAAGGCCTTTTCACAAAAGCTTTGACTATTATGTCAGCAGGTACGATACCTCTATTGTGGACCTCGAAACAAGTCGTGTATGCGTTTGACATAGTGACGCGACGAAAATGGAGGCACTTTGGTTGACGTGCGAACACTGTGTGAGCACCGATCTATTTCGATGTTATGTAATAATAATAATAATAATAATAATAATAATAATAATAATAATAATAATAATAATAATAATAATAATAACGATAAATGTATGAAATAATTTATGTTAAAATAATCATGGGACAATACTGACTCAATGTGCGTGTCTATTCACAAACACGATTATTATTTTATTTTTTTTATAATTAATTTGCAATAAATTTTACCTCTTTGGGACATAGAAAGTCTTCTATGTTATCAACAATATGATTGCTTCGAAACATATTATCTAAATTCGTGAAATCGATCAATGGAATGGAAGACTCAACGCGCAGAACTAATTTTTTCCCATCTTTGTATTCCATAACAGTATCCGGAACAAAAACAACAATCTGTTCTTCTTGAGAGCCAACTATTTCCGGGTAACATTCGATTACTATAGTATCGGTCTGTCCGGCCTCGACGTCAGCCTCTATTTTCATTAATGTAAATGGACCAATATTTAACGTGTTCTTAACATTCATGTCTCTGTTGAATAATATACGTAAGTAATTTTATTAAAATGATTGATATTTATTGGAAGGTGAAAATTTCTTTTTTTGTATATATCACGTTTTTTCAGTCTTCATCGATTTCTTTTCTCTTTTACTCAAGATTTCTGTGTCCCTTCCGGTATTTAATTTCTTCGTTCGTTCTTCTTTTCTTACACTAACAGGCAAAAACATTGATTTTGCTGGAATGTGTATTATATAATGAAATTTGACGACTCCTGTATTTTCGATATCGAGATTCATGATCTTTTTAGTGCAAATCGGGATCATGCCGAAATTTATTTCAGGATAAGGATTTATATTGAATCTTCGAAAAAGAGATAATAAATAAATTTAAGTTGAATATAAGTAAAATATAAAATTATTCTTGAATAATATATTTTTTTCAAATCAGTATATACCGTACCTGTTATAATAAGCTTGAAGGGAAACGGTCAAAGGAAGTTCTGCTACAATCATCGATTGTTGATTAGGATCGAGAATGTGACAGATCAGTATCGGTGCTTCCATCAGATGGATCTCATTTTTTGGTAAAAACGTCATTTCCACCGTAACTGTTTTCTGTGGCTGTATCGTACCGATAACTGGATTAATCTCAAGATTTTTTTTCACATTTATAGGTCTGGCAAGGTTATTGTTTAGCTTTGCGTTGTCGTTGAAATTGATACTGAAAGATTGTTATAACATTAATTTTTCTTATTTAATAATCCTTGGATATTTTTGTGGTTTTTTTTTTTCAACGAAATAATTCATCACTAACGTGTATTGAATTTCGTAATTTCCACGATTTTTTATATCGAAATGTGCATTGACAGGATGGTCGACCTTGACAAATTTTAAATCGATCGGATTGGCATAATTTATGTCAACCAATACGTCGTATGTCTCAGCAAAAATTGTAATAATGTCGGTATTAACGGGATCTTCATCGTCCTCGTGCAGAAATATTTGAAAATCCATTTTTTTTTCTATAACACCTATCTATAATTGTTAATTATGATGAATAACAATGTATGAGAGTTAAATTGAGAACAACGGAGAATAATTACAGAGGAGAAATGATTAATGCTCACCATGCTGGCATCGTAGGAAAATTCGATCCTTTGTTCTTTTAAAGGTAATAGAAGGTTTTCTTTTGGGTTAAATGTTATTTGCGCCTCGAAAGGTTCTTTACATTCGATACGCCAGAATATCGGTACTGTGGATCTATTTCGAATGGTAGTAAAATGATCTACCTTTCTGTAGAGAAGTACACGTCCAAAAGATAATTGTTTCTCATCGATTTCAACCTCCAATTTGACGCCGTAACATCGTAACTAAATTTGCCAAAAAAAAAGAGAAAACAAGCAAAGGAACCAAAATAAATATCTCCGAGAGATTCTTTCTTTTCTTCTATTATTATTTTTGTTTTTTACGTTAACAAAAATAATAACTTACTTCGATCATATCGATCTGTGGATTATTTTTTGTACAAATATATAATTTTTTATAAAATGGACCGAGTTTATTGACCTCGGCTGATATGGTCACTTTCCTATCCTCGTAGGGCTATATCAACGTGATAATTAATAAAAAATAATTTATGAATATCGAAATACTAAAGACATATATAACGTACAGGAATAATCAATGTTTCTGGTTGAACATTAAATTCATTTGCATTGCTATCATTAAAACATAACGATACTTCTGCTTCTATTGGTGTTATATTCCTTAAAATGAATTTCACTGCAGAATGATATGATCTGTCAAGATAAAATCATAAGAATGAAGATAATTTTTATAAACTAAATAAGAAATAAAAAAAAGAAAAAAAAGGAAAAGAAACGAACGAAATATATAACAAACCTTTTTTCTTTTTTGAGTAATACCAAAGATCCAAAATCGAATATACCATCATCCAAAATAAACGAAGGTTCGTTTGTTTCATCTATTTTCTTCTCCATTATCTTCAATAATAAATGAATTTAATTATAAATTAATTATAAACAAAGCTTAATGAAATTGTATTGTAGACAGAATGGTCGAAAAGTTCAATATATGGGTCAATAGTTTCTAAATGATTTTAAAAATCAATTACACTTTTTTGTGACTTTTTAACAATTAGGCTTGTAGTTTTATAATCTAAAAAAAAAAAAAAAAAAGAAAAAAGAAAGAAATTAGTCCTAGAAATGTCTCAAAGAAAAAATAATAAATGATTTTTAAAAATGCTTTAAAAATTTTTGACCCGTCATGAAACTATACAACTATTTTTTGCATGCTATCTTTTTTGTATGTAAATGATAAAAATTTTATTTTTTTTTATTTTTACTTTTTCAAAAATTATGTAAGGATTCATATCAAGTCTCGGTATCGACGCAATTCCATTAACTTCGATATGATATGTAGTGTGAGGATTGTCGACTATCGAGAAAGTATAACTTTGTCGATGATCTCCCATTTTTATAGGACGATATCGAAGCTTGAATCGTTTTTTTTCATTAGGTTGTAAAATTAATCGTGGTTTAACTATTTCCTCGTGATAGAATCTGACGTTGTTAGAATTTAAAAGTTCACTTTCAATCGTAGAAATATTCGTGATAGTTTTGTCGACATTGTTTATCGACATTTTCGTTTTATTTTTCTTTCGTTGTTTACTTTCTATGTACACTAGATTTTGATCAATATTTGTTGTTGTTGTTGTTGCTGCTGCTGCTTTTGTTGATGTTGTTTCTCGAGAAGGTTCTTTCATCGCGTGATTACTAATGGATTCGGTCATTGGCTCTTCGTGTAAAGTCGCAATTGAGACCAACTCGAACGTATCTAATCAGAAACAGAGTAAGTAGTCTTTGTAATTCCGTTAATTATATATTTTCATTTTCACGTCGACGATTGAACGAGTGATTTAATCGTCGTGTTTTATAGACTTTTTTTTACCATTTTTTTCAACCATGCTTGGTACTTCGAAACCTTTGTAACTGAGAATGGAATAGATTTTAGATTCCGAATGTACCTTTTCAATGTTCCTTCTTTCTATATATAAAAAAAAATTCTATTTGATTATATTTCTATTCTATTCTATTATATCTTTTGTTTGTTTTCTTTTTTTTTTACTCACGTAAAGCATTTTTAATCAAATCGTTTCGTTCGATTTGAGAAATCACTACGTTGTTCATTTCATCGTTCCAAGGATCGCTCGCTCGTATATACCAAATGTGAAAATTATCTGTTTCCTAGACATATTTTTTTTTCGGTTATAAACATATCATTTTTATTAAATATGTAAAAAGTGGATCAAAAGATACTATTAGTTAATTTTTAAAATTAATTTTTTTTGTCGGGATTGTTTAAGTTAATTTTGTTTTTTCAGATTGTAAAACTTCAATGTTACTTGTTCTTAAAATTAGCTTAGGAAAGTTAAAAAAAAAAAAAATAGAAAAGTAATAGATTTTCCAAATCACATAGGAACTTTCGACCCGCCATAAAACCTACCTCTACAGTTGTCTCCATTTTTTCTTTTAACTTGCCTGTTCTTGATACTTTATTCTGTGAATAATGAAGAAAATGAACATGAACATATTTTAGAAAATTGTAGAAGTTCAATTTTCCTTTCTATTTAAAAACGAAAAAAAAAATACTTACAGCGATCTTTCGAGTGGAATAAACATTTTTTATTATATATTCTATGTTTTTCAGATTGTTTCGATATTCCTCCGTGATCTTATTGATCTCTAACATTTCTTTCGATAAAATTTCTTTTTCTGTTGGAAGTAAAGGAAAAACTATATAGACTATTTTAAATATGACAATTAATTAATTTAATTTTAAGAAAATTATATATTAGATAATTAAATAATATATTAGAATTACTTAATTTGGGACTATCATAATCCTTTTTTTTACGAGCAGTATTTCCCTTACTAGAAATCACTTTCGATTCTTTTTCATTTTTATTAATTAAAGCTGGAAGTTTATTTTTGGTTGTTATTAATTTTCCTTTTTTATTTTTAGCCTTTGATTCGATAATACTCATTTGTAATTTTTTCTGAAACGATAATTTTAAATTGTAACTAAATCGACTTTTTTTTAAATGCTGGAATTATTATTATTATTATCATTATTTTTTTTTTTAAATGAATGTTGAACGAATGAACTTTTTTTCTTTTCCTTGCGTCCAATTTTTCAGATAATTGAGCTTTCCTTAACATTGCTTCTTGTTTCTTTATTGGCAAGATTGCTTCAAGATAAATATTTTTATCTTCCTCGGAAAGTTGATCGTAATCGGACAGTGACATCTCATCGATCTCTTGAATTTTCTTTGCAGTATTCTTGGCTATTTTCTCGTCTATACATAGACGATATATATATTATATAAAAGAAATAAAAAAGAAAAATATTTTAATTTCCTTCAAATATTATTTCTCAATAATATGAAAGAAAACTTACCTTTTAATCGTTTTAACTCATTAATTTTCCAATTACAAATGTCCACGGAATTGTAAAAGGTAATGAAAAGAAAAAATTCTACCTGACCGACGACATCGAGTAAAATATTTAAAGTTTTGATCTCGTCGCAAATGAAACAATTACGGAGAGTTTGCAAAATGAAACCTTTTTTGAAATCTTCTTCAAATAATCTGAATTAAAATAAAAATAATTAAAAAATATTAAATTTGAAAAGAGATGATATAGAAATTAAAAAGAAAAATTAAAAAAAAACATAGCTTAAGCGATTTTCAATAATGAAGGAACAATCGAGAAAAGAAAATAAAAACAAAATAAAAAAATGTAATTTTAAAGTACTACGTTACCTTTCCCTTAACGCTTCAGATAATATATCCGAACCAATTTCGAAAAAATTACTTTTTTGTTTTTTTTTACTACTTTTGTCACTTTCTCGAAAGCTTGTTTTATCCTTTACGGGATCAGTGATTATCGTTTTTGAAAGAATTTTTTCCAATAATTTAATAGCTTGTAATTTATGCTCGTATTGACTGAAAACATCCATTGAAATTAATGTTTCCTCATTGAGTGATAATTTGTTATACGATTCAAAAGGATCAGGCTCGTCGGTCCAACGTAAAAATCTTTCTTCATCTCTTAAATCTTCGTCACGTTTTTCGGATCTCGGTGTTTCCATTGTTCTTGGTGTTTCACCAGATTGTTTTTTCTTTCGTGAAGATTGTGACTTTTGCGTACGCGTCGTTTCCAATTTATCAGCAAGTATTTGACTTCTTTTAGAAGTGAACATATAAACAAAAAAGAAATTTATTTGATAATAGACTAATTATTCGAAGAAAGTTATCTCTACGAATGATTAAACGAAAAGAAAATTATGTTTAAAATATAATTTCCCTAAATTATTTCGCAATTATTTTTATTTATTTGGAAATTTTTAAATTCTCTAATTTTCTATTCGAATTTTTCTAAATTAATTCAAAATAATTTTATTTCATTTGCTCATTTTTATTTTAACTTTTTTCCAAGTTATTCCTAAATAATAATAATAAATATAATTATACCCCGGAATGATAGAACTATGGATCACTTAGTATATAATTATTTTTACAAATGATCATAATTCGTTTCTTTCAAAAAATGCAAACTAACTTGTATTCAGAAAATTTGGTAGTATAATTCTGATAAGTCTCATTGATAGCTTGTCTAAGTTTGACCGAACACTCGCTCTTACTAAAAGCTGCTATTTCTAAAATAGCCGTGTCTATAGAAAGCACGGGAATCCCTAATGCTCTGGCACTTCTGCATGCCGTTTCCTGGTAAGCTAGAAAATTATTATCACACAATTACATACGGTACAAATTTAACGTTTCTAAGCTGTTGCGTTACTGAGTTTCACCATTAAATATTTATATATATATATATATATATATATATATATATATATATATATATATACCCGTAAAAGGTGCACCGTGAAAGATAATGCAAACTTTTTTTTCTGGTTTCACTAATTCTTCCAACTTTTCTGTCAATGTGGATTGGAGTTCGAGTTCATCGAACAAACATTTTATTGGATCCCTCATTATCTCATGAAAATTTGGATCTTTATGCAAATTACTTATGTGATCTTGAAAACACATCATTACAATTTAATAAAATATATAAATATATAATAAGAAATATTACATATTTTATCTTTTTTCTTTTTTTTACCAAGAAGCAATTTCTCAATTTTCATTGGATCATTTATAGCCGATGATAAGAATAATTCATCATTGATCATCGATGCATGATCCCTTTTTGTGACGGATGAAGTAACGGAACTGTTCAATGATTGTTTTTTTTTCAAATTAGATACTTTACGAAGTTTCAATTTCAAATCTAAATCACCTAACTGTGAGTTTACTTGCTTCTTTTTCTTCTTTGTGATCGTCGTACTCTTATCGATCTCTTTATTTAGAACTTGTTGATCGTTTCATAGAAAAAAATCATTATTATACATTAGTATGTATAACTTATTCATATACACAGGAGTATGAATATATACATATACATATACATATATACCTTCTTCTTCGCCTTCTTCTTCCTCTTCTTCTTCTTCTTCTTCCTCTATGTCATTTATCTCGTCAGATTTTTGTTCTTTGATTATCTCATTGACTAAATCATTATAGAATTCAATTAATATAGCTGGGATCCCTTCTGCAAGTTTCCTAAGTGGTAAGAGGATTTCCTCAACATCGTAATAGCGAGTAAGTATCTTAGCAATGCGATCTTCGTGTATGAATCGACTAAAAATCATTATAAGTTTCATATCACCTAATTACAAAAAGAACGAAAAAAAACATAATTAATCTTATTGGATGTTATATTGTAAAAAAAATTGATTCTCACTTATCGAGATGATGCCAAAAAAATTCTATTGTATATTCGCAATTATTTTCGATCGTAAATTCACGTTCTTGGATTTCCATATATGGTACAGTTGGTAAAAATTTGATAAAAGATTCATTTACATTTAATTTACGTTCCATTCCGTGGCCAGTTAAAGTTATCGTTTGAAGTTCCAAACCCATTTTAACGATGACGTTTAATTTACCATTTACGCGGCACTATTAGGGTTATTAATGGTGATTATTAATACTGTAGAGATAAAAGGATCGATAAAGTGATGTGAGAGAAATAGAGAGAGAGAGAGAGAGAAAGAGAGAGAGAGAGAGAGAGAGAGAGCACAAACGAGGCTGAACTAACCGGTTCTCGTGGTTTGAAATAAACTTTTATAATACTTGAATGACCTGCCGGATAAGTGTCATACTCTTGATGTACAGAGAATGGACAGTAGTTCTTTTTTTTGGCCTGTTTCATTGATATTTCTATCTTCCATTCGCAATCGATCAAACCTCTGAAAACGAATAGTTATGTTATTTCTAATCTTGCGTAGATTAACTTTTACATTATTACTCGTTCTTCATTGTCAAATACATCATCGAACATTCGCCAATCATAACTTTGTCGAAATCTAATTGTTTTTTGTCGACGGTGATATAAGGATAAGTTATGACTCCTTTTATAATCACCGGAATGATACAACCATGGATCACCTATTATATAATATATATATAATTAAATAATTTTAACAAGTATTGTAGTAATTGATAAATAAATTAAAAAAATAATATTTCGTCATTTTACCTCGAAACGGATAATATGTTCCAACGTTGTGTAACGTTCGGTATATTTTGCCAAGGTGGGACTACAAATGATATGTAAGAAAACAGAATGACCTACTAGTAATTTAACCTTCTTTTTAAATTCTATTACAATGTCGGAATTAATCGATGCACACTTTTTATTTTCTGAATTTTTCATTCTGACTTCTGCGATCTTTGGACCGTAATTACTCAACATTGTGGAGTAATGAGTAGTAAGGCCAATAATTACGTTTCCTAGGTCTATTGAACGAATGATTTAAAAAAAAATGATATTTAAATGCCATTTCTTTTTAATGAAACTTTAGTCAGAACATCAGCTTATGACAATTACCAATGATATATTTCATGGAGAACATTTCTGGGATTGCTGATCTTTGAGGGGGTGTATTGTGCTTCGATAAAACGTAAAGATTTTCTTTTATGAATTTACTTGTTAAAATTCTTTCAAATGCCATATTTATGTCTATTATACTCGGAAGAGTCTCATCGATTGACACCATGGTCCATTCGTTATCGATCAAATTATCATTATTTTCTTCGGAATATGCAATATCTCTCTAACATAAATATAATCGTTGTGACTAATTATATACATATATATGTATATTTTTAAAAAGTGTTCTTTTACATCAGCGATAAATTCCATAAATAACGATCTAAGTGCCTGATAGCCTAATTCCGATGGACACTTATCGGTGTCAATCATTAAAGGCAGATCGAGGAATATTTGTGGATAAATACCCACTCCCGTCACGGACATAACGAGTGGTACAAGATGTGCTACCTGGAAATAGTTACGATCAAACTATTTAATAGGGAGTTGTTTCAAAAGCTTATTGATTTTACCTTTAATCGAAATTCAACGTTGAATGGTCCAAGATAGATTGGTCGATAGTTCAAACAAATATTTATTGATGATTTAGGTTCGACCTTACCTTCCCGTGGTACGATCGTTAATCGATTTAAATCGGATGATGATTGTACGATGGTATCATCATTTTCCAATATTGTATAAGTAAAGGGAATGTTACATTCGTTGATTAGATTGAAATAGGTATTGCAAGTTTCACAGAAAAGCTATTCGGGGAAAGAAAATAAACAAACAAACAAAAAAAGGAACAGAAAAAATAGAAAGAAAATCAAAAAAGAAAAGTTTTTAGTTCGATCCAAATAAAGCTAATCGATTTACCTGTTGACCTAAATCTATAACGCATCTGTCCACTGAATATCTTACAGTATCAGCCTTTGCGTCTACCTGTATCATCTCGGTTGGTCCACAAACGATCTCGCAAGCAGCTATAACATCTACTTCTATACCTTCGAATCCATGAAAGCCAAAATGTACGTTTTGCGATGTATAGGGAAGTACTATGCCTTCGTTCTGTACTATGTCAAGTATCTGCACGTGAAATTAATTTCACACTGTTTAAAATTGTCCGTCGTATTTCGTGTTTATCTATGTACGAATTTAATACATATATGTATGTATATGTGTGTGTGTATATACGTATGTATATACACGTTAAAAAACTTTCACGACTGGATCTCGTTATATTATGTACCGACGATGATGAGCTACGCTTAATTAAAAAAGTCATTAATTGTGATCTTGAAGCAAACAAGCTATCTGAAAGTGATGTTTAAAAGATTTTCTTAAATGAATATCTCTAACAAAAAAGAAAAAAAGAAAAAAGAAAAAAGAAAAACAGAAAAAAAAGAAAAAAGAAAATAAGTACCTCGTTGATGGGTTCAACGAAACGAGGCTTGTAGCCGATCACTTTTAGAACGTCGATATCAGAATCAGCAGTTGTAGGCATGTCGATTATACTCATTAACAACTTCTTTATCTCTTGTAGAGTATCAGGCTCCTCAGATTTTGAAGATTTGTTTTGGATTTTCTCGAGTTCGGAATCCGTGTAATAAGTTCTTTGCATTTCTAGTTCGTTCGATGTAGGTGCTAATGAGGAACGAAACTTCTTTGATTTTTTTTTAATCGTAATATAACAAACAAATAAAATAAAAATTATATTTCCATGGGACTGACTGTTCATAGGTGTTATCAAGAACTCTGATGGTGCATCATCAGCATCGACCTGCTGGTTTCTTGAACGATTGTTATATTGCCAGGATTTTAATTCTTTTAATACTTCAACGGTATTTAGAATTTTTGTTGACTCCTAAAAATAATTTAGTCATTACTACATAGTAACTAATAACAGTTACTATTTATTAATTACTATATATATATAAATATATATTGATTACTATATTATATTACATACTTTACTATACATCATTATACTATATCACTATACTGTAACGCTACACTATACTACTATACTATATCATTATACTATATTATATCATATTACGTTATATTATCTATATTATAATAATTATTATATTATGTTCCTTTTGTATTACATATACCAACCTCAATATCACGTATGATATTAATTGTTTCTTCGAGCCAGACAAATTTGTATATCACCGGCATAGATCCATTATTCGTTAATGTTAAGACATACTCTTCGCTGCAACCTTTTTCGCAATACATCTTTACCTCGTGCGAGCTCAATATAAGATTTGGATAATTAACTGATCCTTTACATTTAATTTTATTCTAAAATAATATATCGATAAACTTTAGATTTGCTAGTTCTTATTGGTAATGGATTTTTTTTCTAGATTTAAATCACCTTTATGGGATTTTCGTTGTACTCGAATATTAGTACACCTCGATAAATCTTCGAATAAAGATTATCAGTCTTCATATCCGGTACAAATTTTACATAAACTTTTATAGTAGCTTGATCGGCCAACAAAATCTTCATTTCCTTTTTAAATTGTTCTATTTCGTTTATCACATAGAATGGATGTTCGATTGTGAGCTGAATGTTCAAATCCACGCCTGATTTATTCGTCACCATGACCTCATCTAACAAACGAAGTATTGTATTATTAAATTATTGTAAACATTAAGCATGATAGAAATATTAGGGCGAGGATAGGGGTAGAAGAGGGGGAAGGAGGAAAAGAAAAGAAATAAAATCAAATGGTTCACCTATTTGATGATATTCGTTTCCATAAGGAGAGATATCGATGCGCATTGTTAAATTCTTTTTGCTAAATACGACATGCGGTTCTACGAACGTGGCCTTAAAACTACTTAAACCAAATAGCTCTCGTTTAGTTTGACCTTGTATACGTCCAAATAGGTACCAATCTTCCTGTATTGTTTCATTCCTATAATGTATATAATGGAATAATAATAATATTTATTATAATATAAATAATAAATTATAGAAAATTTATTATCAATGGCTTACTGATTCCAACATATTTTGCAATGAACGATTTTTGTGTCATTGGGTTCCAAATTGATAAAGAGTGGATACATTTGAAACTTAGAACTGATAGAAAAAAGAAATGATGATATTCAATAATGACATATAATTTTTTTTAAAGCTTAGTACAGTATATACTAACGTAATCGATGATACGATTTGTCCTTTTTGAACATGTAAATCTGGTGTATTCGACCAGATCAATTGATATTGTTTCATTCCAAGATTTTTCATGGTGATTGGTATATTCACCTTTTGATGACTTTTGTTGTTCGACAATGAAAATGATATGGATATGTAAATTATTTTATAAATTATTTTTTATGATTAAATTGTAATATACCTGAGCAGTAATCCCATGTCGAACGTAGGAAATATATTTGGCTGACAAATAATACTGCAACCGACTCCGACCGCTTTAAGATTGATGGAAATCATTCTATTGTTATGTACCATCAATAAAATGTTATCCTCATATATACCAGGATCGTGCAAATAAATTTTCACGTTCAACTCTATCGTTTCGTACTCTTGGATTTCGCCACTTGTTTGATCCACGGACCACGGTGAATTTTTTTTACTCTTCATGTTAGGTAAAAACAAATATCTTTGATCCTATTTATTATTATATATACATAAAACTTCGTACTTACGAAAGCAATATTAAATTGGGCTGGAATTGGTGTATCACTGATAACTTGTAATTTCATAATCTTTTCTTTGAGAACTTGGACATCGCCAAAGTCCATTCTAGTTGGTTGGAAGGATATTATAGGTCCTTGACCAGTACAGGATAATTTACAAACAGTTACCGGTGAATCTTGACCAATCGTTAACATGCTAAAGAGAAATATTACCGTTAATTAATTTTATACAAAACAAAAGATCCCGAGATTAAAATGTAATCATACTTGATCGTGGTACTCTGTTTACCAATGGATTTCGTAATAAGAGTCATTTCGATTGTTCTCGATTGACGTGCCTTGATAAAACCTTGGTAGGTTGATATGGAATAATAAATTGACGTTTTGTTGTCAGATACCTAAAGTAAACGTAGCCTGTTAGAATTTCTTATTACAGCAATACGATGGTATATTAAAGTATTATCAAATATATTCTTTTTTTTTCTTCTACTTACCGATTGTGGCATGATATAAAAATAACTATCGAAATCGGAGTCGTTTTTTATATCAAAAGTTCTCGTGTAAGGGTAGTTTATGAAACAAAATCGTATAGATATCTCTGGTGGTTTGATCGAGAGCGTAGCTATACTCCCACAGAATGAGATTGGTAACATCAATGGATCAGATTGGGAGTTCCACATGTCGACTCGAAGGAAAGAATGTTCAATTCGATTGATATTTGCATTGTAGATTATCTGTCAAAATTTCGAAGATCTTGTTAGAGCGATGTCATTTTTTTTTTTTTGTTTTTCTTTCTTTCTTTCTTTCTTGTAAAACTTCCAATTTGATTATTCTTTTTACCCGAATTTTCGAGAAACTCCGTTTAGGGACTACACCTTCATCAGGTTGAACTATAAATTCCCGTGGGTTAGATGGAAAACTCGATTTGATATCTGAGCTAGCAAAGTCTTCGTAAGTTAAAGGTTCTTCTAAACCATCATTCAGTACAGTTATTTTATATTTTACGGGAACGGTGGATAGATTATGAAGACATACTTCCTGTCTGCTACTAAATCCTAAAAACCATCGGACAATTTCAATCCTTCATTTATTATAAATCGTTCCTTCGTAATCATTTATTATAAATCGTTATAGAACCTTGATAAATTGATCGATATATCTGAAAATCTTACCCAAAGAAGTTGTACCAAAATCTAAGCTTTTCTTATCGAAATGTAACGTTGGACATATAATGCATCCTTTAATATGTAATGAAATAATTTCGAGACTTTCCTTAACAATGAAATCAACACGTTCCAAAAAGTCACCCTTTCGGCCAGAAGAAAATGATAAACTGAACGACTTGTAGTTTCCTGGTTTGATAATAAGTGATGAAGGATCGATATTAATTATCCCACCGAAATGAGTCTGTTTTGGTTTATATATCAGTGTGCCATCTATATATCCTTTATTCGTAGCAACTATCTGAAGAATAGATTGTCCGATATGATTGTTAAAGAACTATTAAAATTGGAAAGTCGATAAGGTTTAACAAAGTTGATCAAAATATATTTTTCTACCTCGTAATAATATGCGGAATACATGTATATTTTATCTACATCGATCGTGATGACGTTCAAACAGAAAACTGGTCCTTTGCCTATCCCACATAGGCTATGATTGTTAACATATGCAATGAAAATATTAATGAAGAGAGTCACACTGAGTTGAAATGACGGAAATAATTTCTGGAGTTTGATTTCTTTACTTCAAAGGTATCCTGTCCTCTCGGCCGGATACTTCCAAATAAGCTGTGCTACAAATCTCGCCAACTTCTAAAGCTTGAAAGAATATCGTCACGTCTGATGATGAATGTGGCCATATTTCACCCTCCTACACAATACGTTTCAATACTTCATTTACAGGGTTCGTTTTCATTTTTATACAGGGTGTATTCAAAAGTTCCTAGGTCATTTTAAAAATCTATTACTCTTTTTCAAGATACTTTAAGACTAATTTCTTTTTTCTTTTTCAAATTGTAAACCTATACAAGCTTAGGAACTTTTTTGCATTTTCTTATATTCGTATCTTACTATAGGAGTAATCAGAAAACATAAGTTATTGTATTGGAAATTTTCATTCATTAATGAGATTATCTCATCCCTGTAAATTCTTTGGCAGACAAGTTCGTGAATGTTAGGCATGCAGATGTTGTAATATTCCAGATTGACACATCGTACAATTTCCATTTCGTTTATCAGTTCGAATAATTTTTTATATCTGTAATAATATAATAAAAAAAGGATAATAAAAAACAGAAAAATAACAATACTGAAATAGGAAGAACAAGGAAAAAATATATTTGATTTTTACTCTTCTTTTTTTGCATTATCTTCTTTGCTACTTTTGTAATACATCCATTTATATTTGACGATATAATCGCTTCTATTGTGAATTGTAAGGATTTTACTTCTGGACATGCCCAAATAAGTATTCTCCATTTTGACACTGCCTCTATCTATTCGAATTATACAATTCACTGCTGAACTTCGTAATTTTGTTCGAAGAATCTCACCTACCAATACATTTGTTATTAATAATATTGTTAAATAAGATAATGAACCAAAATCATAAGTATACCAGTCTCATTTTTGATAAAAAGATTTCCTTCAAATTCTCCGATATTATCGGATAAGAAATAAATAGTAAATTGAATCGATTCTTCTTCATCGATTAAACCACTTGACGGTTCGATACGAAAACATGAACTAACAGAAATTTATTAATTATTAAATATTTTCGTTATTAATTTTAATTTCATCTTTTTTTTGTTATTTTTTAATGTTCCCTGTCGAATTTATTATTACCTATCAGTGAAGAAAGTGAAAAAGCCCGAAGTTGTTCCGATATTGCGTATCAAAATAGTTTTCGACGAAGAAATTTTTACTGCTGTTTCTGGTACTTCGATGCTATCAGGAATGTCCAGAATCGGTCTGGGACCAATTGCTGAAATAATGAAACACTTAAAATTATATAAAAAAAAAGAATGTCGAATGAAAATAATTTCTTGTTATTACCAATTATTGGAATAGAAATAACATCGTTGTCGGTACAGAATGTCGCTTGGTATTTATAATCTCGTTTCTCTTCCGGCATAAATTTGATGTTATAAATCTGGGCTAGTCCTGGCGCTACTGTTACGTTGTAAGAAGATCCACGAAATTCGATATCAAAGAAAGGGTCCTGTTCGAGGCATGCTTTTAGACATCTCGAGACCTTATAAAAAATATAAACAATTTAATTAATTATATTACAAGTTTTCATATTATACAATTATTTTTATGATTGATTATATACCTGACTAGAATTACGAATAGTGAGGGAAGCGTTATAAACTTTGCCAGGGAGAAATTGTTGAAATATAATAATAGCAGGTATTGGTTTGAAAGGATTATTTTCTGGGTAATTAATGACAGATCGAAGATTTTCATTGATACCTGGTTTAATCAGATAAGCCATTCTATCTTCCGTTGTTAACAACATTTGTCTTATATATTCCGATGGAAATATAATGTTCTGTGTATTAAACAAATCTTATTCATTATTTATATATTAATACAATAGTTTTATCTACGAAAAAATTATATTTTTCTAACCTTATCTCCATCATTCTCATTTCTTGGTTTATCCAACATAATTGCGAAGATCTTTAATAAGTCGAACGAGAATGGTTTCCTGTCATCTAACTTTTTTTCTCTTTCCTCCATTTTTTTAAATAATCCCTTTAAAATTCAATGCTCGATCTATTTTATTTTCGATTAATTAGCATAATTGTTTTTGTAATATGTTAACCGTATTGATTGTCACAGTATGACTGATTAAACGCAATATGTTTCTTTTGTTTCATACTCATTCATACAAGTGAGATATTGATCGAAGAGAAATACGAATATACATTTACGAATGATTACGTTTGAAAGATTTTTATTTATTACATCGAGGTGGTATGCATACATAAACCGGACAACAGGGTGGTTTCGATGGTTTTAAGCACGGTGGAATTGGACAACACGTTGGTGTAGGACAACAATTTGTAGGGAAACATGCCATGGGTCCACATGGAATCGTACAATCTCTTAAACAACCGGAAGGCCTGAAAACATTTGATTTTTTTAATAATTTGTTTTCGTAATATTAATAAATAAATTAACGACTTACTGGCACATTGGTGCGCATGGGGAAATAGGACAACATAATGGGAGACATGGTGGACTTGTACAAAGCGGAGGTGGACCACATGGAGATGGACAAAATGGAATTGACGAGATTGGTGGACAATCGGGGTTCGGTGGGAAACAACAAATTTTTCTTGGAACTGGTTTAAGCTTGATCTCGGCACGAGGAGGTTCCGTACAACATATTGGTACGCAACCTGGTAGGCATGGACTAGGTGGACAACATGGCATCTGTGATATGCAACAGGGATCGCAGCTTATTCCATCGCAACACATTCCTGGACATGGACCTCTTGGACATCCTAATGGTGGACACGAGACGTTACATATTTCTGGTTCAGGCTTTCTATTAAGGGAATTTAATTTTCAACGATTTGATTGATGATCTCGTGCATTTTTAAATAGATAGGTATATATATCTTGTATCAACTTACAAACATTCGATTTCTTTTATGATACATAACATTTCGTCCATAAAATTACGAGTGTTTCCACAAGTGCCCATTTTCTGATAAATTGATGACGTATCATTTGCACAGAAATTTAGATTAAAGATCAAACGATATATAAATATTTATTTATTTAAATTTAGTTACTTATCCATTTGAATTTGATGTATTTTCTTTTCTATTCGTTTGTTTCTTTTTTTTTTCTTGAGGCGATTTTGTTGTTTTCATAAAGTGTCATACAAATTGTTCATAACCATAAGTCAAATTATGCGTTGATATAATGATAATGTTTTTCTCTATCCATTTATTGTACCCTTTTATATCTCCTTTTATACTGACAATAGTTAGAAACATGTTAAATTGTGTAAAAATATATGTACATATATATTTAACTCTGTTAAAATTAAATCATTTGTTGTTTCAGTAATTATAATTTAATCATCAGGAAAAATTTATCTTGCTGTACCAAATTTATTTAAATTGTTGTCTATTTGGTTATACCTATTTTATACATCTAATTATAAAAAATTATATATATATATATATATATATAAATGATTATTTATCGTTTATATAAAATTAAACATGGAAAATTGTAAAATACTTTAAAACGATTGTATTAAATTTCGAAATGAACAATTACTGCGTTATGAATTGTCCGAATATCGTGAGGTATGTTTGAAAAATCGATTTGACTCGCACGGAAATAATTTGTTACTAATAATAATAATTATTATTATAATCATATAATAATAATAATTTTTGGAATGAGCATATTTATAATTAATGAATCAAATTTATTTATATCAATGTTTAATGACATCAACACGAGTAAATAATATAAATTTTATATATATATATATATATATATATATATATATATATATATATTCATATACATATATGTTTGTGCGTATGTGTATAATTATTATATAATTACGTAATATTACTATGTATGTAATTACTATAATGATTTTATTATATAATCTATGAATAATGAAAGTAGGATAATAAACAAGATGAGATTATTCACACACAGGGATTACAGGGTAAACATATAGGCCAGGGTGTTCTTCTTGCAGGACAGGGTGGTGGACAGGGTGGTAAAGGTGGATGACCGAACTCAAGGTATCTCGGTGGACACGGAGGTGGGCAGGGTAATCGAGGTTTACGGATGGCTTGTTCGTAGATACCGCAAATCGGTGGGAGGGGTGGGCAAGGTGGTGGACAAGGAGGCGGAGGTGGAACACAATATATATTTGGTGGAGGTGGACAGGGTTTTGGTTTACTCGTACAAATTACAGTAACGAATTTACTTCCATCACAAGGACCCCATGGACCACAAGGTATAGGTGAACATGATGGACTTATAAAAAACATCAGATATAACTGAATATCATTAAAATTATTACTTATATTAAATATGATACTTACTCGATATTACACATTGTCGATTTTGATGAATTTTCCTTTTTATATTTTATGAATTAATATTTCATTATGGAGATATATTATTTCATGATGAATTTTGTTTTTAAGAATGAATATTGTAGTGGTTTTTATCGAGCTATCGAAAAAATATTATTGTTTGTTTTTTCTTTCTTTTTTTTTTTTCATTCGATAGTTAAAATGAACCGCGATGATTTATACATAAAACTTGTTACTTGTTTTAAGAATCGTGTATATTAATGATATCGTTTAAAAAGTATAAGATAAATAGACAAAAATATATTGTGTGTATATATACACATATATATATATATATAAAAATATATATCTCACAAATTAAAAATAAAAATAAATAATCCTTTCATTCAGTGATACATCATGGCTGGTTGTATATATTTATTAGCAGTCAAAGAGTTCTCAGGTATCATTGGTTGGTTTGGTATATAGTTCGGTTTTCTGGCAAGGTACGTGACACCCCCAATAGTTTTGGCTTCTCGAATATCTGGCGAATTGTAGGTTCCGTTCAATCTTTGAGATGGGCCAAATGGTGCCATCTTATTCTGTATCTGTCCGTTCTCTCTGGAATATGATAAATCTGCTGTGTCGCCACCAGGACAATCGAAGTATGCTATATTGGCTGTATTTGGTTTATGTAGGTTAAGTACATCTCCCTGTCCGTTGTTACTAATCACATTTTGTTTATTCTGATAGAATTGTTGTAACTGCTGAAAATAATCTGGATTACCGGAACCATCAAATTTGTAAGACATTTGCTTGTTCAATACCGATAATGGATTTTTTTCATTATAAGGAATTAATTTCTGATAATTTTGTTGTTGTTGGTGATTTAACTGTTGATCTGAATAAGGCAACTGACATTGTACGGTTGGAGCTACTGTCCCGTCTTCTCTTTCAGCCATCAAACTATAACGATTTCGTGGATTATACTGTTTTTGTTTTGGGTATTCATTCCCAGTCGTTCCAATTTCAGATCTTTTTAAATATGTTAACGGTTGGGGAAGTGGATTATTAGGGTTTCTTTTATTTTCTAGACCATTTGCTGAGATAGCTCTTTGCGACATCGAATTAGAATTATTGAAGGGTGGTTTTGATATTAAATTTGGTGTCGTTTCATTCGGATCTTGCATACCATTCAGTTTAGTTTGTAGATTCTTTCTGTTAAGATTTGCGAGATATTCAAGACCTTTCTGACTTTCTGGATTATTTAAGATCTCCAAAGCTTTCTGGATCGTATCTGGATTTTGCAAGCCGTTATTACGTTTCTGAGGGCGGATCACATCTTTGTATAATCTTAGTTTCAATAAACTCGATGGTTCGACATTTCTCATATTCAAATCGTTCAGACTAAAGGCTTTCTTGAAAAGACGGGAATCTTCTTCGTTTCGTGGCTGATCAGGTTGACATGAAACTTGTTCTGGTACTTGGTGATACTGTTGTTGATATGGTTGTTGATATGGTTGTTGAATTTGCTGCGATTGTTGCCAATAAATAGGATATTGCGATCGCATCGGATTATTATTGAAATGTTGTTGATATTGTTGATATTGTTGATGTTGTTGATGTTGTTGTTGTTGTTGATGTTGTTGATGTTGTTGATGTTGTTGATGTTGTTGATATTGTTGATTTTGTTGATATTGAGATGAAGCTGACATTGGTTTTACATGACGATAAGGCTCGGATGATCCGTATGTATATTGTGGTATTACTGTTCCTGTTGGAACTCCCGTTTGTTGTTGCCAGAGTTGATACGCATTTTGTTGAGACTGATCATAAATCTGTGATAACGATGGCACCATTTTGGATGGATTATTCCCATTTTCTTGCAGTTTATTGAAATCCACTGGTTGATTCTCGTTAAATTGCTGTTGAGATGAAATTAAGTTTTGTTCTCGAATTTTGGCGTTTAATTTTTCTAAATCACTGTAAGGAATATGTGGTGGCGTTATATGAGCCATCCATTCAGGTTTCTCGTCTATCTGTATCTTTTTACGTATCTCTTGCTTTTTTTTATCAGGATAATCATCCTCTTGATTAAATTGTTGAAGATATTCAAGTTGTCTGCGTTGTTCCTTTAGTAAATTATCGAACTGCCTTCGCATTAATTCTTCGGATATACCTTGTTGTTTCATAGTTGTTATCAAGAGCTCTTGATCTCGAATCATTTTCGGTGTAAATTTCAAACTGTTTCTTTCAAGATTTGTAGGTATTTCAGTTGTGATTACTTGCTGAGGAACATGATTTGGAGGCATCATATTCTGTTGGAAATGATTTAAAAATTGTTGTCCTTGAATCGTTGGTCGATACATTTGGGATACTTGACCATGATTTTGACCATAATGATGACCATATGTAACGTTTTGCGATTTGGTATTGTCAACTAGGTTGATGGTGTATGGCTTGATTTGAGATTTTATATTTGGATTATCAATTAACATTTTACTATTCGGTACTGCTTCATTATGCTGACTACTTAATTGTTGTCGTTGTTGCATCGACACCATAGGATTTAGAGCACTTTTCGTTTGATTTACGTTTGCATCTTGAGGCGAAGTCATTCCATAAGGGAACGATGTTCTTTCCGACAACTGTTGAGGAAAATAATTATAATAATCTTGATTAGCATGTGCTGAATGTTGTGTTTGATGTCCTGACATCATTTGGAATTGCTGATTAAACGCCCGTTGTTGCATTTGTTGCTGATGAGCTATATTGTTTTGAAGTTGTTGATAAATTTGCTGAGGATGTTCATGCGTTAAAACAGGCGAAGAATTTGCTTGAGAGGATTGAATATTGTAAAAAGGTGGTACAGACATAGGACGATCGATCTGTTGATTCGTCATGTTAGGAAACATTGTTGGATGGGATCGTGTTTGCATATGTTGTTGTTGATGTTGTTGTTGATGTTGTTGTTGTTGTTGTTGTTGTTGTTGATGTTGTTGCTGCTGTTGTTGTTGATGTTGTTGATGTTGTTGTTGTTGCTGCTGTTGTTGTTGTTGGTGTTGTTGTTGTTGATGTTGTTGTTGTTGCTGCTGCTGTTGTTGTTGTTGTTGTCTCTCTTGCATCACTGCTTGTCTATGTAACATTAAATTTCTTCCACCAACAGGTTGTTTCTCTAGATCAACAATTTGAGGAAGTTCATCATTTACCCAATTGTTTTCTTTCTGTATATTCGTAATTTCATTAGATATTCTTTGTGACTGTTGAGGATGTAATTGTGTCGCCGGTGTAGAAGATCGAGCTACAGGTGTTTGACCATTGTGAACATAAGCCAACGAGTTAGGTGTACCCACAGCAGTTACGTGCGATTGATGTCCATGCGGTACGTTTGGCCGATGTTTATCTGGACCATGTACCCGATAAGTTAAAGCTCCGTTTGATTGTGGAATTGGCTGATGCATCGAATAGTTCATGGAAATTTGTTGTTGGCACATATTTTCCGACGTCTATAAAAATAAATAGAACGTATAAGCATGTTAGGATCCTGTTAATAATATTATTTTAAAAATATTTAATATTATTTAATAATATTATTTAAAAAATATTTAATATTTTCTGTAATCATTGCTACTTACCTGTGACTGTGACTGATTTTGATGTCCATTATGTATCCCATTAATTTGATCACCGTACTCGTAATTATGACCTGTAGAATCTGGCATGTATAATGTAGCCGAACGTTCAGAATTTTGTTGATTGACCATACCCCTTATCAATTTATTATTAAACAATGCTGAATTGTCATATTTGCGAATTTTTTCAGCTGGAAAGCTTTTCAATCGTGGTGACGAACTCGATTGTAATTCTTTGGATTTATCTTGAGAATTGAATATTGTTTTTGGGGGAGCAACCTTGTTGTCTCCAGTTGCAAGCATTGTTTTTGATAATTTTGTCTGTAACGAAAGAGAAATTGATGAGAGAGAGAGAAAGAGAGAAAAAAAAGAAAGAGAGAGAGAGAGAAAAAGAAAGAGAGAGAAAAAGAAAGAGAGAGAGAAAGAAAGAGAGAAAAAACAAATAGATATATGTAATTGATACGTTTTTTCTTAAGTTACATATATGTAGCATATACTTACCATTGTGGCTTGAATTAAGTTTGCCTCTGGCAAAGGTGATTTTCCTGATCGAGAACGTCTCCTTTGAGGAATATTTGTGACTCGTGTTTGAATACTAGATATGCTAGGTCGTCGAGTAGAATCTTTGGCAGCAGTATTCCTCTCTGTGGAAACTTTCCTATGAGTTCATGATGAAATAGAAGGTTATATAAAGACGTTTATGTAATCCTTTTGAAAAAAAATTGAAGAGGCCAAAAGATATTCTAAAAATATCTTACCTTTTGTTCATGATAGAAAGAGATTCGTACCTTGTCAATTTGATATAAAAATTATTCTAATAAAATCATATTATAAAATAAAAAAAAAAAGAGATTAAGTCTCAGAGCAGATTTAGTATTACTGGCATTGGAACAAATGAAGATAATTTATAAGACGACAGCATAAATTGAGGTTGTCATGGGCACCTATAATAAAGCTCCCTTCATTAGCTCAAATCCCATTTGTTAGAGAAATTAGTTTATAAATATAAATGACAATATGTTTGACCTTAAGACAATTTTCTCTATATTTTTTATGATTCATAATTACAAATAAGAAATGTATGTAATAACGAGTTAGACAATTTATGGGACATATATTATTTTATACGTTTATTTGTGATCATTTTTAAATATAAATTTAAATCGTGAAAGAATTTTTTTTCTTTTCTATCCTAACATTACAATAATTTAATAATAATGTTTTATATATCGGACAAAGATACATTTTATTTATTTTATCTACACGTCCTATTTACTTCTCGTCCTCTTCAAATATTATTGAAAAACTGATACATTTACTCAAAGCTCTTGAAAATTACTAAATAAAAACATATTGTAAATTTTAATTCATTAACTTAAAAATAATTTAATATTAACTTAATAATAATAATAATGCTAAAATTGTTTCTCCAGAAATTCAGAATTGTTTCTTTTGTAATTTTTTGTTTGGTTTTGCATCCTCAATTTATTCGTTGCAAGTTACTTTAAGAAAGTCATCTTCGAGACGTTCAATTGGCAAAATATCTAATAGAGATTATCATTTTATTGTTGTCAATTCATGGTTAATGTTACTCGTGAGTATTGATTAAATTCGTTTTATTATCGTTATCGATAAAAAAATTTATGATTGTCAAACTTTGACGAGTTGTTTTTTTGTCACCTTATATAAAAATTAAAATGATGGTGACCAATTTGTTGATATCATTCGTATGTTTGGTCTAAATCGACTGAATTCTCAGCAAGGTGGACAAGGCACTGAAAAAAATCAAAACAAAAAAGTATCACAAAGAGTAATATATCGTAGCGTTCGTAATGTTCAAACTTAATACACGATACTAACGACAAAGCGGTCTGCAAGGTGAGCAAACCGGGGGTGTAGGAGGTGGACACGGCATACAAGGTATGCATTTTGGCGTACAAACGTAAACGCAAGTTGGAGGAGGCGGTGGACAAGGTGAGCAGGGAGGAGGACATGTCACCACCACTTTTGGAGGACAAGGCATAGGGCAGCAAGGTGGACAGGGTGGACAAGGTCGTAAGTACACCTGTTAATTAATGATCCATCTGATTTTTTCGTTGTCCAAATTCTACACAATTGAATTATCATTAAACTTAACATTCGTGATATAAATTTTGTTAAAAAAGAAATAAATTTTGGACTCATTGAAATTGCAATTATTAAAATAATCATTTTTCTATTGTTCATGATAAATGATCTTTTCATTGTCATAAACGTAGAAAATAAAACTTTATTCCTTTATTTAGTCAGTCAGATTTTAATTAAAAGCATTGAATCGTGCTACAAACCACTGTCTTCGATGGTCTTGCTGGGCAACGAGGCGGACACGGTGGCCTACATTGTATGAGAGGCGCACAAGGTACGCAAGGTAGGCAAGGATAACAAGCTGGTGGACAAGGTGGTATGCAAGAAGGTATTGGACAAGGTGTTGGGCAGCACATAGGTGGACTGCAAATTACAGGGTTACATGGACCGGGAGAACACATATTTATAAGTATTTTCCATTTCTGTCGTATCCTATTACTCCATTAGTAATTTCATCGAATAAATCGAGATATCTTCTTGTGTCTATCATGATAACAATGAAATTAAATATAAATAAATCTTTCTTCTAAAGAAAGAAACTTTATTAGTTATAATATCAAAATTGGATAAGAATGTTATCTCATCGATTAAACTATTACGTTCTATCGATCATATTCTTCACACAAAAATGTAATTTCAAAATATTTAATATATATAAATATATATATATATATATATATATGCATACATTATATTATTGTTTACCTTAACACTGTTAATTTTGTTTAGTAGGAATTATGATTAGGTCACCGATATAGCAGGTCCATCTATCTGATTTAAATGACGGTACCTGTCCTTTGAAAATATCGAAGATTACTTGAAATTTTTTTTATCGTTGAATAGAAAAATAGATCGAATGATTTTGCGAAGACTGTTTATTTTTTCATTGTCATGACTACAGTGAGAGTCAGTTGTTATTCACTTGGAACAGTAATTGTTCCTACTTTAAAGACGTGACACACTCGTAAAGAAATGTAAATTATTATATCGCTTATATATATAAATTTAAGATTCTTGAATTATTTACTTTATTTAAAAATAGGTATGAAAAAATGCGAATAGAGAGAAAAATGTTGCCCCTACATGATGCTATTTTCGTTTTTCCAATGACGAATAAATGTCGATGAAACTTTCGAGTATAAAGTTAGACTTGTGGCTAATCAAAGAACACAAAATCCTGGTCCGTTCGGTGGCTGGGCTGGTATACCCCGTCTGTTCATACGACAGGCGTGTTCTTCGAGGCGTCTTGATGCTTCGGTCAAACTTTCCGCTTGTTCGCTCCACAAACGTTCGGCTGCGGCACTAGCCCGTGGCCAAATTCTTGGATGAATGTTATTCCTAAAAAAAGAACAAAAAACAAAAAAAAAATAACGAACACATCCGTATTACTGCAATATAAATAAAAGTGTTCGATGGTACAAGATCGTTAAAAAATGAATTATTTAATATAACGATAAATTATAGACGAACTAACATAATTCGGCGTATAGAAATTTTTTTTTATAATATATTACAAGTGAACAAAAAAGAAAAAAGAAATAAAAAATATTAACCTGTCCACAAACTCGCCCCACATACAAGCTTCACCTCCCAACATGAAATCCCTCAAGTTGACTTCGGGTGGTGCCGGAAATCCTAAAGGATCGCACGTGTAATACTTTTTCCAATCGCCTCCATTGCTTATGTGATCGAGATACCAACAAGCCGATAACAAAACCGGATGTCCGGCTTTTGTTGCCCTTTCTAACTCGTTCTGCCAGCGTCCGGTCCACACGTGTACTACCGTGGTATTGGGAAGATTTACGCCGTTATCGAAAACCTGAAATAACAAACGTCTATTTTTAGAATAATTCTTAGAAAGAAATTTCATTTCGTGAATAGACCGTTAAAATTAGAAATAATATTTCACCTCTTGCCATACGATCGAATTGGCACCCAAGGTGCTAGTGATCTCTAATAACTTGGTAATGTACTTTCCTTCTAATAACGCGTAATTCTTCGACATATTGTGAGCTTGCATATATGATTTTATCTGGGGATTGCTACCCCAACAATCGAAAGGTACTTCGTCGCCACCGAGATGAACGTAATTATCTGGAAATATCTCAACTATCTCGGAAAATAGATTTCTCATGAATTCGTAAACCTCTGGTTTTGTTGGATTGATCGGTCCAAGTTTACCATTCGGATTACCAGTAGAGTCTAAGGATAAAAGAAAAAAGAATCAGAAAAAAAAAATAAAATAAATCAATAATTCCCAAGGAAAATTCTTTAATCCGCACAAAAAAAAAAGAAAAAGAATCATTTCAACTCACCATAACACTTCGTGAGAAGTTCCGGATAACTTAAACCCCAAGCTGCTACGTGTCCAGGTGTATCAAACTCTGATATAATACGAATCCCACGTAATCTCGCATAAGTAATGATTCTTTGTACATCATTGGGCGTGTAAACCATGGTAGAATGATAAGCACCTTTAGCTGATAAATTTGGATACTTAAAGCTTTGGTAAGGGAAACTATTGTCGTCTACTATGTGCCAATGTAAAACGTTTAGCTTGTTGTAGGACATTGCATCCAATGTAAGAAGTATGTCGGATACTGGTAGATAATGACGAGACGTATCCAAAAGAATACCTCTGTGTCGTAATTTCGGTGTATCCACGATCGTCTGACATTGTAACTTCAACTAAAAATTTTCAATCATTAACTATTTATTCTAAATCTAACATATACATATATATATATATATATTTATTTATTTAACGTTATTATTTTAACGTTTTATTTAAAAATAATACATATATAAAAATATCAATAATAAAGTCTTCATCATTTATTACACTGAATTTTAAATAAATCGATAAAATATTTAGAACGATTTAAATAAATGTTTTAATCTTATCGATCATTAATTATTATTAATTAAATCGAAATTTAACTTACGATAGGACCGTCTCCAGATGGTACGAGGATTTGTGAAAAAGTTTCAAGACCTCGAAGTATTCCCCAAACGGAGTCAGCTGAGAGACTAGCATTGGTTGATATTTCGTTTATTTCAAGTATGTCTGGAAAAGTCAACGTTCTATCTTATTGTCGATCTTATTGTCGATTGAGAAAAAGGAAGATAAAGAAGAGGAGGAAGAGAAAGATGAAGAAGAAGAAAAAGAAGATTGTATTTAATCGTTCTATTCCTCAATTTTCCTAATCACAATGACCTCACAATGATGCTTTCGCGAACGGATAAGAAGAAGAAGAAGAAGAAGAAGAAGAAAAAGAAGAAGAAGGAGAAGAAAAAGAAGAAGAAGGAGAAGAAAAAGAAGAAGAAGGAGAAGAAAAAGAAGAAGGAGAAGAAAAAGAAGAAGAAGAAGAAGAAAAAGAAGAAGAAGAAGAAAAACAAGGAATAGAGATAAGAAATGCAAAGAGGCTGATTAAGTTCGTCTTATTGCTCGTCCCCGTTTCGATCTGTTCCACTGACTCTATTACCAACTCGTTCATTATCGCGAATTAGAAAAATTGTTACGTGCATAGACGTTCGTTGATTACATAGGAACGATATCATCGAACGATATTTCTTCGTTCTGTATAAACTGCATAGTATTAAAATGAAGGTACTAAGAATTAAATGAAACAAAAAAATTAAATAAAAAAGAATTAAATAAAAGAATAAAAAACAACGATGACAATAATTAAAAGAATACATTTTTTAATTTTATTTCAAGGAATTTTTAATCATCGGGAACGATTAGAAAGCAATTGAAATAAGTAGAAATATTTTTTTACAAAGCGAAAGAAATCTCGTTATTCACGTTAATGATTTTATAAGTACTATGTTCGAACGTGGAATACCCGAGTTCGTATAATCTTGTCCCACTTAAAAAGAAAAGACATATATATATATATACGTAGATAAAGTATCATTTAGAGTAGTTAGTATGTTTTACTTTTGCGCGCATTCGATCACAATCATGGAATACTTAATGTTTATACCGAAACATTTAAATACATACTCATGTGCATCGTATGTATGTATTTCGAAACGAATTAATAGTACATTAGAAAGTATACATCCTAATTGAGATTAGCGAAGGAGATTAAAATCCGGGGGAACAACCGGTTAGTTTCATGGAAATTTATCTGTTTTGACGGAATCGACGGAAGATTAGATATATCATTTACGTATAATATTACGTAGTAATAATGTTTCGTATGCAATCAACGAAGAAAGGACAAAGATATTTTTTTTTTTCTTTTCAAAAATATTTGTTTCACTTACAACTCTCGTTCATGAACAAATGTGGCCAATATTCGCCGTTATGTTGGCAAGGATTCTTTAATTGAATCTCCAAGCTCGTTAATGTACCCTTGAAGAATGCATCGTTTCGTGCAGATGTTCTGGGATGTCCTTCGCTAACGATTCTACCTATTCTTGCATCGGTTAGAATTATACCCTTGTACCTTTCGATAGCCTCGTTGATTATATCGCAATTTTCAGTTTCTGTCTAAAAAAGAGTGATAAATATATTTGATAAATCCAATAAGAAATCAAAAAAACAGACATACATCAGATTGAGCGAATTTCATATCTACAAGAGAAGGGATAATGGAAGTAAAAAAAAAAAACAAAAAAAGAAAGAAAGATAAAATAGGAGAAGAAAAAAAAACAAAATAGAAAGCGAAGAGAGCAAACTCAAGCGAATACTTTTAGGATTATTAAAATAATAATAAGAAGAAAAAGAAAGAAAGAAAGAAAGAAAGAAAAAAGACCGTAAAAAAGAGGTAAACAAGAAAACAAGTCAACGTGAAACTCACTCGAATTTGAAAGGTCGACGGTCTTAAAAGATAAAATTCCTTTCGAACGATTCTCTGATTCGGCATCGGCCAAATTTCACCTTCGGTCGGTATAACCCATGCACCAGAGAACGAATGCAATTGTATACTCAAATTGGGTAATGATGCAAACAGCCAGACTAATAAAAATGTATTTATTAAATACAAACGACACATGTTTGTTTGTTCGTTTGTTTAATAGTAATCAACGTTTCAGGTAAAACACGTTTGCCGAATAAGAACGATCCGCTAGCAGCGAGCGGTCATCGTCTACTGACGATGATACTACCGAGCTGTGCCAACCGAAGCTCGAACAGAGAGAATGAGAGAGATAGACAGAGATAGAGATAGAGAGAGAGAGAGAGAGAGAGAGAGAGAGAGAGAGAAAGAGAGAAAGAGAGAGAGAAAGAATCGGTTCGGTTGTCGCGTGTATACGAACACGAGCAAGGAGAAGAGCGGTGAGCAGAGTGCAAACGACCTTAGCCCGCCATTTAACTTTTATCACTTTGGCCTCACGAGTGCTCACGGTCAAGTGGGACTAAACCAGTCCTTTCTTTCTCTCTCTCTCTTTCTCTCTTTTTCTTTCTTTCTTTTTTCTTTCTTTTTTTCTCTCTCTTTTTCTCTTTCTTCTATTTTTATATTTATATTTATCTCGTTTTCATTTCTTCTCTTCTATAGACGCTCAAAGGAAATCGTGATCCTTAAAGTTCTTCTTCGTGAAAATGCGTTCATTGATCGTCGAGTACGACGACCTCTAATAAAAGAAGAAAAAGGATAGATACTTAGATCTATGTCAGATAGTGAGAGAGAGAGGGAGAGAGAAAGAGAGAGAGAGAGAGAGAGAGAGAGAGAGAAAGAGAAAGAGGGGGAAGTTTGATTGTACCGAGAAGACGGATATAAAGAAAATTATTATCTCGACAATCGATTTCGTTCGAAGAAAAATCTTCATTAATAATTTTACCTATAATAATTTTTCAAATTCAAATATTGCTGGTACAAAAGCAAGTTTTGACAATGATAATGTATATTTTTTACGAAATTACGAGCGTCACTGTTACACCAGAATTAATTGTAAAGAAAAATGTGGTAACGTTATATATGTTTCGGCTATATGACATCTCATTTAATTTGTTATTATTTAATTGTATGTTATTTCATGTACAATTCATAAGTATGTTATTTCATGTACAATTCATGAGTATGTTATTTCATGTACATCTCATGAAGAATATTCCTGCAATTAGTGCAGAAATAAATTTGATGTAATCTCTTGAGATATTAATAAGTATGTAATTTGTACGCGTGCCTATTTCGAAATGTTTTCTTTTCTTTTTTTTCTTCTTTTTTCTTTTCCTTTTTAACCACGAGAAATTGTACCTTTAAACTTTTCTTCGAAAGAAATGATACTTAGTTGATTAATCATTTAAAGAAATAACATCATAAATATATTAACGAGTATAACGGATAATAAAACTTTCGTCTTATTTATATTAATTTCCACAAATTATTCATAACCTGTAAATTTTAACAAAGCTTAATCAAACGATTGTCTATCATTCGGTCTAATTAATAAAATTTATAATAACTTTTATAAGTGGCATAAAATAAAAAATACATAATAATAAAATTTGTAAAAAAATCTAACAAACACATTAATAAATAATTTAAAGAATTTTTAGAACATACACACATAAATATTGTTCGTAACCTACATATATAGAAATGATTCATGCCGTCACTACGAGTCGAAAATACGTAGCTACGATTTAATTTAACTAATAACAAATTCGACCTCTCATTGTATATTTTTTCTTCATATTTATCACATATAGTAAAAGAAATTCGAAATCGATGAGATAAAATGATCAAGCGTAAAGTTCAATAAAGCACTAGAGATAATAGGTCATCCTTATCGATTCTCCGCTAATATTTATATTTACACGTAGAGATGAAAAAGAATAGATTGAGAAGAGTGATATCAGTGCATTCGAAAAAATCATTATACGAGTGATATATCGATATCTTGGTTGTTGATAACTTCGTTGATAACGATGGATTCCCCTTCTTATCAAAGTTAATAGATACTAATACCAATAATTAATAATAATAATTAATATTATTATTATTAATAATTTATGATGTCTGGAACTTTAACAAAAAAAGGGGAGAATGAAATTCGTGAAATTCTGAATAAAATTCTATGTACTTTAAATGAAAAAATTGGAGCTAAATGTTCGTAATTTTTTAATAAAAAGAAATATGGTTGGTTATAAAACAGAATAATTTGTTTTTTATTTTTGAACACATGTACGTATTATAAACAAAACCGAGATAAGAAAAAAGAAAAAACGAAATAAAAAGTAATTTCCAAAACGTACAAAAGAACAATAAGTACAGTATAATGATAGTTAATTATCTATGTGACTAATATGTAATTAATAATCGGGATGATTTTGATAAAACATTGATAAAAAAAAGAAAAGAAAGAAGAAAAAAATATGAATAGAAATAAAAAAAAAGAAAAAAGAAAAGAAAGAAGAAAAAAATATGAATAGAAATAAAAAAAAAGAAAAAAGAAAAGAAAGAAAAAAACGAGACGGCAGAAAATTACGAAGCATGTCATTGGACAATTAAACGAGACAAGATCGGCGAACACAGTGATAGACGTGTCGAGACGGCGTGTTATCCAAAGGAGACGCCTCCGATCGTAAAATACGAGTTTGCGCATTTTCCTCCTCTTATAAGAGAGAACCGCAAGGTGAATTACACGTGCTGAAACGAATGCGACAAGCTTGAATATCGTATTAACCTGTATACACGTACATGTGGCCTCTCATAGTATGAGTTGATCGTAGAGAAAGAGAGAGATAGACACAGAGAGAGATAGATATATATATATAGAGAGAGAGAGAGAGAGAGGAGAAAGGAGAGAAAGAGGATAAGAGGCATCACGATGGACGTACCCAGATTTATGTTAATGGATCGTTGGAAGATGAATGACCCGCACGTTGATTGGACGACATCATAAATTTCTATTGGAAAAGATATACTTGATGTAAGATAGCATATATATGTGTGTATGTGTGTGACAAGAAAAAAATTTTAACATCCGATTAATCTGAATAATTCTTCATCGATAATTTGGAAATTGTCGATTAATTATATCTTTTTATTTTCAATCGATTAATGTTTAAATATTTTTCTTTCTTTTTTTTTTTGCTTAAACAAAGAATAAATTTCAGTATCAATAAGTTTTTCCGATTGATAAGCTTCGTTTGTTGATAAGACATTATTCTTTTTTGTATAATCGAACACGTGCGTGTTACAGCACTTTTTCACGTGTTAGAAATTGTATAAGAAGTATGTACATAGATATACCGGCTAGGTCGCATGATTCACTTAACCGTTCATTCTTAGATCTTTGAGAGGATGATAATTGATATGAATCACACATATATATATTCACACACATACACACACTTGAAGTCTAATATTTAAATAATAAATGTAATTATATAACGATATATGGGAGAGGTTACTAATTTTTTTTTTAATTATTATATATTTTAACTATTATTATAATTATTATCATTATTATTATTCATAATTTATATTAGAAGAGATATATTTTCTCCATGTCTCTCTCTCTCTCTTCTTTTGTCTCTTTCATAAACAAGACTAGAAATAATGATAGAGAGGATGGTCGATGATCGTACGGCACTGCTTGGTGAATCGTAGCTTCATTGATTGCGACGACGTACGTTGGGCGGACGGTCGTTAGGGGCGAAGGGAGGTTAGATTCGAACTGGAACGTGCATTCAGTGCTGGCTATTACTCTTAAAATGCCCCGGCCGTCTATCGATATAATAAAAAGATTATTATTATTACCATAAATACTATTTTGAACTTAATCAAATTGTTAAATAATTCCTATTTCTATTTTCATTTCATACAGACAATTATCCAGTAATGTTTAAAAGCACAAATGAATGGACTTTTTAAATAAATCGAAGATTGGTCTATTTATAAGATATTATCGACGAATATTATTAAATTCCTTTTTGTATTAAATTCGACATTTATGTAAAACATTAATATTAAATATTAAACATTTCAAAAATCCCGCCGAACGAATGTGTAATACCATCATCGACGCGCCAAAAGAAAGCAAACTCCATCTGTAAAACTTCCAATTATAAATTCCCGATGCTATCGATCAGATATCAACGGGTTCGATAAATTAAAAGGGAAAGAAAGACCTGGAGAAAAAAAAGAACAAAATCGAACAAAAAAAGAAAAGAAAAGACGAAAAAAGAAAGAATGACAAAGAGAAAAAAATTTTATTAAAATTTGCCGCCCACAATAAAGATCGTTTCTCGACATTTCAATATCAATGCGCTTGCGGGGGCGTTTGCGCGCCGAGAAGAACACAACACGCGCAAGACTTTGAAGAGGGTGGGGCGCGAGTCGATGAGAGAGAATCAGGATGGAAAGGTGGAGTAGGGGGAGGGGGTTTTAGTGAAGGAGAAAAGAGGAGATGGAGTGAAAGAGGGGTCGAAGGATGGTGATTGGGGGGGTGAGCAGGGGGGAGGGGGAGTCGTACGGAGTAAAGGCTTAGAGTGTAGAAGAGAATCGAGCGGGCAATAAACGTCGACGTCGTCGTAGTCGTCGTCGTCGTCGATGACGTTAGTGACGTGGATGGTGGCGCTAGCATCGTAATACGAAATGATGATGGCCGTAGTACTAGTAGTAGTAGTAGTAGTAGTATGGTGATAGTGGTGGTGTGGTGGTGCTGATTGTGATGCTCGTAGTAGTACCGAGCGTGTGTAGTAGCAAGTTTTAAGGGCGGGAATGGTGGGTAGTGGCGGCGGCGGTAGCGGAAGCGGTGGTGGTGGTGGTGGTGATAGTAGTGAGGGTTTCAGTGGTGGGGAGAGGGTGGTCTTTGCCTGGCGTCGTTTTCCTTCGGTGTGGCTGCCTCGGCATTAGAGTACAGTGTCAGTGCGCGCGGATCCGTCGTGGGTCGTGAATCTCTTCTCTCTTCGGCATCTCTCTCTCCGTGACGCACGAGAGAGGACGCGCGTCGGCGAGGGAGAGAGAGAGAGAGAGAGAAAGAGAGAGATAGGGATAGGGACGTGAGAGCGAGCGAGCGTGCGCGCACTGAAAGGAAGAGAGGGAGAGAGAGAGAGACAGAGACAGAGACAGAGAGAGAGAGAGAGAGAGAGAGAGAGAGAGAGAGAGAGAGAGAGACAGGGTGACAAGAGAGGAAAAAAGGAGAGAGAGAGAGACGTGTTAACGTTCCGTGTTCG